AAAATGAAAAACGGATCATGGAATTGAGTTCAGCTTAAAAAATTAATCTGAAAAGATGGGAAAACACCCCCTTCATATTTAAAATAATTTATCACATTTCAAAATGGCGGATCCAAGATGGCGGCCGAATAAAATACATCTGTCATAACCAAGTGAAAATAGGTCGACAATGACTGGTAGTGTATACTTATCTTTATCTAGCACTATTTTGAGATTATGGTCTTAGTTTGTAAATGCACAATGTTAAAATGGGCTAAAAATAAAGTTTTAAAAAACCCTCATAACTTTGGAATGAATGAAGTTTTTTAAAAAACGGTTTGCGGCATTGTAATCAGGGTAGAAATGTAGTTCGAAATAATGGGTCACAATCCCACCTTTACATTTGAAAAAAATATTTTGCATCCAATATGGCGGATCCAAGATGGCGGCCGGAAATGACCACCTTGTCAAAATTAAGTACTTACTACCCAACAATGTTTGGAAGTGTTCTGGGATTGATATTTGAAAAAATGTAGAAAAAAGTTGGGGGGGGGGGCAACTAAAACTCACCCTGTATAATATTTTGTTATAAGAAGTAAAATGGGTAAAATATATGCTATTTAGTGTTGCGGAATAAAACTCCGCATGCGCCCGCTCCCGTTTTACCGGTGAAGCGCCTCTTCGAGGGTTATGAGATTTTGGTTTCAAACAATGCTATCAGGACATTACAATTTATAAGAAAACTTGGAAATTTACAACAAAAACAAAGTTTAATTTAATGTTTATTACAAATACCCGAACTTTTCTTTGTTATGTAGGTATTTGTTATTCTCTTATTATTCCAAATTAGCCTAATTAATGAAATAATGAAAAAAATACAGTTACAATTGAACAACAGGTAATGGAATTACATGGCAAACAAAATAGTCTTACAGAGTACAAATAATTGGCCTAGCACTGAAAGGGTTAAAGGCAGGAGTTGACGGGGTGGTTAGATCTATTGTGAGTTGAGTTGCATCTTTGATCAGACATTTTGCTACTCGTCTCATGTTGGTTTTTAGTTGGTATAGTTTTATACATCATAGATGACAAAGGTTGTCTGGGCAGGTGACTGGGGCTTGGCCGATGCAATTTTTTAATAACAACGATGACGGCAACGACAACTTTCATTGCCTTGAGCTGTATTCCTCTGATCGACATTAACTTTTTTAATCATCAATTAAAGAGCTTACGAATATTTCTCAATAACATTAGAAGTTTTTCCAAAACATTTGACAAGTTTTTTTGTTTACTTAGATTCATTTAATACCATGTTATAATTTTTTCTGAATGCTGGCTGGGCATTGGAGAGGTTGTGGGGGCGAACATCGGCGGGTTTGACACTCACATGACTACCACTCAACATAACCGCAATGATGGTATCAATGTGTTTACTAAAAAATCACTATCAGTGACTGCAAGAGAAATCACTCTGGGGGATGTTCATTGGTTATCACTGGACTGGTGAAAATGGTTGGATCAAAATGTGCTCTCACTTAATGTGAACAAGACCAAATTTCTTCCTATATCACTCAGTATAATAACTGATTATAGTCTAGACAATTTGAAGATTCATTGTTGTGGCGACCATAACAGTTCATCTTGTAATTGTAAATACATTGAAAAAGTAGGTTATTACAAATATTATAAGGTGTTTATTTTGACTCCTGTAAGAGGTGGTCACAGCATGTCGATTTCTTAAAGAAAAAAATCGTAAATACATCAATGCTTTTAATTAACTGAGCGTCATTTTAGACGAGGAGGACATAAAGCGAGCTTATGTGCAGTCCTTGATTTCATTTGGAATTATTTGCTGGGGAGCATGCTATCACACCACATTGGAACCCTTGAATGTGATACAAAGATCAATTTTGAAAGTAGTTTTTAGAAAAAAGAAAATGTACTCCACTGAGGCGCTATTCCGTGAGACGGGAGTGTTACCAGTCAGACATATTTTCATTCAGTTTCTTCTTAGTCACACATTCAAAAATTCTAACACGATTCTTACAGCAGTCACACATCACCACTAAACAAGATATTCACTCAATGTTGGAATATATGTTCCTCAGATACAGAACATTTTCCCTCATTGTCATTTCTAACTACCAACTGTTTTTATGTTACTGAGATTCTATATCAAAATGTAATTAAAAAATACAATATTCAACACAATTTTAGTTTACCCTCAATACAGAAATTAAAAAAACAGATGCTTGAATTACTGCACACTATTACCAGTGAAGAGGCCGAAACTTTGATCAGACCTAACCATATATTACCCATATACTAACCATACTTTGACCCTGACTAAACAATACTCGACCATTCAACCCCCACAGGGGCTTTGGTTGTCGTCGCTGACATTCATCCACAGTAAACGATCTGGTTTAAATTAACAAGGCTCTAAAAATCTTCCCAAATTCAGTTTGTGCCCTTTAATTTTTTTAGACTGATAACAGCCAGGCATACGCACAGGCACCTGCCCATGTAGCCATGTAGGCCTATCCCATTAGTACAGCAAATTTCAACTACAAACAATGTTGTACTGTAATATTGTATAACTACTCTCTGTTGTACAGTAGTTCAAATTTCTAGGGATAAATAAATGATAAATAAAAAATAGATAAATAAATAAATTTTTACCTACCTTTCCTTACTGTGTGTCTTACAAAGATATAAAGAAATATGAATTTTTATGTGTACAAGGGAAAACATGATAAAAAAGAGTTAATAAATTCAAAAAAATTTCCCGGTGTTCAAAGGGTTATTAAATCGTCTTGCACCTATATGCACCTGCTAGCTATCACAATAAATGAGATATTTGATCTTGTCTAAGTTTTGCTGCTGCCGTATTGATAGTGCAACATCGATCCAATTTGCATCTTTATAATACCACATCAATCCATTTTGACAGTAGTAGACCTAATTGTTGAACAAATCTAATAACAGGATTTTAATTTTAAGACTGTGTACACATAAGATCTCAGCGGCGCGCCCACCTAGGACCATACACTTGGTGGCGGCCGCCGCTGCTGTTGCAATGTGAATTGACCAACACTTTGGCCATTGTAAACTAACTAAGTTTACAATGGCCAAGCGAGCTGCTGTGGAACAAAAAAAAGACACTGAACTGTTTATTGAAGTAGTGCAAAAAAGAATATGCATTTGGGACATATAATATGACTACTATAAAAATTACAGGGTGTACCTACCATCTCATTTGTCGTCTAATATAATATAAATACGTCGTAACAGCTCTGAAGTTTCTGTATATTACAGCTGTTTCGGCATCAAAATGCCATCCTCAGATACACATACATCCACCTGAATTGGCGTCGTTAAACTGTACACACACACACAAACACGATAAAAACACAAAAACACGTAAAACAAGAGACAGGCCTGTCGCGTACATGATTGCTACGAGTACGGAAGCTGACTGCAGTATTTTGGTGAGTGTGTATAATTCAGTTACGGTACATATTTGTTGTTTGTTTTACCCTCTGACAACCCTACTAACTCCATGGTGTGTTATTTTTTTTATCAAATAATGTATAAATTTCTCAGCTTGCTCACAACTCTACATTTTAGCGAATTTCCCATGTAGGGAATAAGCTATTACCATAGGTCTCATGGTAAGGCCTGGACATGGGACCGATTTACTTCTTTTATTTTGATGTCCCAGGGGCCAAAAATACCAACCGTTCAAATACATAATAAGTCCATTGGCTCGATAACTCAAGCAAAAAATGTATTTGAACGAATTCGCTAACCAGCATGATCAGACAGGGAATGGGGGTTTATGTGGTAAAAATTGGTATTTCTAATTTTTAACCCTCAAAACATAAAAAATAAAATTTCCTAATTTCTCTCTATACAATTTTGAAGAGCTTAAAAAGCAAATAATTTGGTATATTGAAGTGTTTTTGAACGGTTATTGTTGTTGGAGAAAAGTCAAACAAATTTAAATTTAAAATGCTTATGATATTCTTATGGAGAATAAGTTAGTAAACTGTTATAGTTTTGCTTGTTTAATGATGTTTTGATCAAACTTGGAAAATTTATTTATTTTTTACTAAACTACCTATTAATATTTTGTAGGAACACACCTTACTCATAGGTCTCCCTAACCTAGGTTTACACAACCTAGGTTTTCAATAAAGCTAATATTATTCAAATAAATTTAAGAGAAAATTTAATTAGGCAAATGGAAATTTGCTTAGTCTGCAGGTTTGCTGCAGCGGGGACATTTGCAGTATGCTGTGCTTAATACATAATAGAATCCAGCATTTGATTAAATGAACAAATGTACAGAATTTCATGACATGACAACAAATATGTATGTGAGAACAAATGCCCCTGAATTCCAAAGGATAATAAAAAATACCCCTGCCACAGTAAACCTGCAGACTAAGTGAATTTCAACTTGTCTGCGATTACATTATTACTAAAATATTTCCATGAATAAGATATTCCCAATTTAAATAACATTAAATTTAACAAGTGCTTAAATTTGCTGCTATGAGGAAGGTAAAAAGTGTTTTTGACCATAAGTCAAAATAAGTGAAAATAGGTCGACAATGACTGGTAGTGTATTCTTATCTTTATCTAACACTATTTTGAGATTATTGTCTTAGTTTGTAAACACACAATGATAAAAAGGGCTAAAAATAAAGTTTTAAAAAGCCCTCATAAGCCTTTAGAATGGATCAAGATTTTTTAAAACGGTTTGTGGCATTGTAATCAGGGTAAAAATCTAGTTCGAAATAATGGGTCACAACCCTACCTTTACATTTGAAAAAAATATTTTGCATCCAATATGGCGGATCCAAGATATCGGTCCCGGGTCCAGGTCTTACCATGAGTACTACGGTAATAGCTTATTCCCTATATGGGAAATTCGCTAAAACGTTTAAAACAAAACCTGACCTTTAGACAACTATCACTCACTAAGTTGTTCATAAAATTAATGAAATTTTCAGGTTTAGTTGTTTTTGGCCAACCAAGAAAGAAGGGGATTACTATGGTCAAGAAAATGACAGACGAAGAAGACTCTCTTCTAGAGAAAATCGTGAACCTGTGTATGTCTATAGAACAGAAACTGACGCCAATAATCAAACTTCTCAGTTTAATAGTCGTTATGTAGATACACAAAGACAGTCTAGATCTTATCCTGTGTCCCCTGAAAGACGGCCTATTACCAGAGCTAACTCATTTGAACAAAGACCTTCTTTTGAAAGATCAAGGTTAATCAGTAAAAAAGATTCAAGAGATTCTAGAAATGTCATGGTTTATGCGACCGATGTAAATCAAGCTACACGATTTCCCAAAAACACAGAAAATTCTTACGACAGTTTCACATATGACCTCTCACCTAATAATGTTCCCAGAAGATCAACTCTTAGCTATGGTGTTGATCATGAAAAAGAAACAACGATTCCTACAGAAACTCAGAAATGTGAAGCTGAGAAACCAGGACAAGATTTCGGTAAGCCTGGCACATCCAGGGATGTTCCTAAATCACCAGGATTTTCATCAGGAAACAATCAGAATGTTTCAGATGGTGAAAGGCAAAGTGTGTTGAGAAGATCGATGACAAATACTGAAAATTGTTCTCCTCGAAGTTCTATGATGGAACATGAAAAAATGTCATATTTAGATGCAGACAACATCTCAGAACCTCAAGTCAAAACTCTAGTTAGAGTGGTACGACCAAATAATACAAGGAAATTCGGGTTAGGAAGTAACGTAAAGCCGATGATTTACCGAGTGGAAGACAACCAACGTTCTCCTCTATCTGCTCGAAGACACATACAGCAAATGCCTTTAAAAGTAAAGAAGCAACATTATATTTTGACAACTGAGGATGGAAAGATATTGAGACCACTCGCATCAGACAATATAAGAAAAATGTCTGTAAATAAGGGACAGCCAATAAGGTTTTCAGTTGTACGGCCAGTGGAACCGGTTGGTAATTTTCCATTGACACAAGGAGGGGAAGCTATTGTAGCAGCTCCGATGATCGGTGGAGGAGGAAGGAGAGGGGGGAAGCCTCAAAAGAACAAACCAATATTACGTAAAGGTAAAGGAGGATATAGAGGTCCACCTCCAGATGATTATGATGACTACGGGTATGAAGGTAATTACTACGATGAAGGAGCAGACATGTATCCTTTTGCCCCTGTGGATAATCCTTACTCCTACGATTCTAAAGGATATTACGATGATGGCTACGGATACCAAGGCGAAGACATGGGAAGGTACGGGATGGGTCCAGGAATGGCAAGAGGTGGAAGACAAAGTCGGCAACAAGTTTATGCAGCCCAAATGCCAGACAATACCCTCCCTGAGGTATCAATTGACAAAGGGAAAAATCCATCTTTCAAAAAAACAAGTAAAGCATTAGACTCAGTTGTTGATAAAGACTATTATGATTTGAAAAATGAGTCACAAAATTATCAGTTGGGTAAGGAACGTAAAGTTAAGTTGGTTTCATCTTCCCAACAAACAGATATAAGAAAGGAGCTAGATTTCATATGTTTTTCTCCTGAAAAATGTTTTAATTCATTAGATACTCCTGATGATCCAAATTCCAAGTTGAAATGGCGTATTATTATAAAAAGAGGTGATGAAGAGTAAAAAACTATTTTAACATTTCAATTTATGTGAAATTTTTTATATCTTTAAACTTTTAAGTCACACTACATTGTATCTGTCAATGAAAAAAATAAAACTGTTCACGTTCATTTTACATTTTACCTTGAAAATACCTTTTACTAAGTTAACATTCTACAAATATTCTTCGCGCCAAGAAGCTCGACCTTAACTGGGATGCGGTGTAGATCATAAAGAATCTAGATGCCTGAAACTGTGCAAGCCCTGAAGGCTTATAGGTCACATGTTGGCCTGACTGACTTGAAGTAATGTGACAAACAATTCCAGGTCTGTGTCCAACAGAGTAGAGGGGGTTCTTTAGCGAGTAGTCTGATAAATTCGGGAGTCTCACACTACAGGTCGGCTATAGTCCTCGCCACCCTAAGTTGAGGCAACCAAAGGCCGCACGGCGTATATCTAGTGCGGCCTTTGGTTGCCTCAACTTAGGTTGGCGAGGACTATACCTGTGTGCGTAAACGCATTTTCCCTCCTCTCCCTAAAAAAAACATTACAAAATATAGTCTAGTAGTGGTTAACTCGCTCACTACTGGATGTTACATAGCCTGCTAGGATATTTGTTCAACTGAGAGTAATTGTTTCTACCCTACAATCACTGAAGAATCCTATATCAGCTGTCTAACAGTAAAAATGAATAATTAATTATCTTTTAGGATATGATTTTTCAGGTATATTGTGATTAGTTAGACTCAATTTAGTATGTTGCTCATGATTTTATTTTTCTATTTTTTATGGACACAAAAGTTACACCTATTTGAAATACTGCTTCACCTGAACACACACAGTAAGGTTAGGTAGCAAAACAGAAGAAAAATAAGGATAATTTAAAAATAAATAACCAAAGATGGTCTATAAATCGTCATGTAAAAAAACTTAATAAAAATGAAATTGTAAAAAGATACTTGAAAAAATTTTTGGTAAATGGCTATCTGGGCCAGAATAGGTTTGACTTTGTTTAATAGAAGAGCAGGCTTTAATTTAAAAGTCCCGCCCATTGTGCAGGTAATCCTGACCTTCCTTAAAAACCAAAATCAAACATTAATGAATAAAAATTGTTTGTAGTTTTGCTATATTTTATTCATACAAATTTACAGGTTTAAATTGTTTGGAAAGAAAAAGAGAAAAAGGAACAGAGATGTCCCATATTGGCGTGAAGACAGTATTGTTATTTATCAACTTGAAGAACGTCCCTATATTAGAAACCAAGAGGTAGATCATTCACAAAGAGTAAATACTAGTAATAAAAGTCCTCGTTTGGAATATTACCAAAGAATCAGATGTCATCAAGGGCCTAGACTGTTACTTTCATCTAGAGATAAATTGTTAGAACAACGACATTTAGAAGGAGTAAACTCTGACATAGGAAATGTAAGGACTGAATCAAAAAGGATATCCATAACCAGCCCAGAGGAAAAAATCGGAAAAAGAATATCTTCAAAAAGATCTACTCTACAGAATGAACTAGCTTCCAACCAAAAAAGAAACTCAAAAAATGAACCTTTAGAAGAATTTATAACAGAAGTTCACCCAAGAAAACTGTCAGTGTTTAGAGAACAAAGTGGAAAGATTCCTCCAGAAAGAATGTCAGTTTTTGACCCTCTGATCCAAGCTGACAGAGCCCTTGAGGGAAGAAGAAGAATATCTAGAATAACGGAACCTGGAGAGGATCATTCATCAGAATTTCAGGAACTTCCTGAATCAAACAAATTGTCTTTGGTTTATTCTATCAAAGACAAACCAACAAGAACATCTATTCTACACAAACCTCAAAGGGCCTCAGTTGTTCTACCAATTGAGGAAAGTTATAACTCTCAACTTAGACTCTCTATTGTTAAAACACCAGATGAAACTGAGAACTTTCCACTCACAACGACACATGAACCAGTTGTATATGCAGTCAGGAGAAGTATTAGTAAAGCCCCTAGACAATCGTTCTCTTTAAAAAAAATGTTTTCTAGAAAAAGAAAAACTGAAGAGTCTCACAGTAGTGATGAAGAAGAAAATCAAAGGGAGCAAACAATCTATGCTTACCCTGTAACTCCTACTAGAGGACGAACCGGATCGATTCTTCAACAGTCTGTTAAATCATTAACTTCACAGAAAGGAGAAACTCCAGTTGCATGGAAGAGTATGAGACGCTCCATGGACACTGACGTGTTTTCATCCGACGTCAAAAGAAAAAGTGTGACTTTAAACTCACCAGGTTATGTGAACATGGAGAGAGGTCATGGAATATTAGTGTCTGAGATACTTAACCCGATAACTTCTATTTTTGTGTCTGACTTAAAAGATCCAATACCTAAAGATCCACTGTCAAAACCTCGTGAATTCAACAATTGGGTAAGACCTCGGCAAAACAGTGTGCGACAAGTGGTTACGCCAAAACAAAAAAAATCTCAAGTCAAAATTGCTGTTGCACCAATTAGGACGCAAATGCAGAAAACAAAGAAACAATATTCTGAGTATAAGAATAATGATGAGTCGTCATACAGTGATTCTAGTGATGAAAGTGCAGATTCATATCAACCTAGATCAAAGTATTCCCAACAGAAAAAGCCTGTTCATCGTGTTTATGCTGCTTCAATGCCAGCTAAAGTCTTACCTTACCACAAAAAAGAGGAGGAAAAAGAAGTTGGTGTGAACAATTTAGGAAACACTCCAAGCAAACATTTGCTAAATAGGTGTGAAGGAGGTGAAACAATTAAACTAACACAACCAGCATATGTTGGAAGGCTCTCTTTCGAGGAACAAACACATATCCTTAACACATTAGACTTCCTTTGTCATCCCCCAGTGGATAATCTAAAAGATAAATCCTAAACTAAACTCCAGGGTTCTCATTGTAAATTGAGAAAGGGGAAGTAAAATTAATAGATCAAGTTTCATTTCATGCATCTTTTAGAATTATTTGTTGGAATTAAAGAAAATCAACAATGATGTCTCAGATATTATCTAATTTTGTTAAAGTAGTAATACATGTGTTAAGACGGGATTCAATTTAGTAAATATTTTAAAACGCTAGCTTAAAAACACATTATTTAAATAAAAAGACCACAGGATCAAATTCACGAGTGTAAATATGTAATATGTAGCATAAGTATACCAACTAGGCTAGTTGTTTCTGACCCCGAATTCATCGAAAAGCACAGAACGCTGTTTTTAAATTTCTCTTGGATTATTATTCATTTTTAAAAGCAGAGATGTACCATCAGTATAAGGCTTTCTTTTTAATACTGCAGCAAAAACCGCTGTTTGCAATACATGCATTGCGGATCAAAAGTAGCTCATTTCCTCCCTAGGTAGTAAAAATGGACTAAAAATCTGCTGGAGTTGATGATGTCAGTTGTACATTTCGCTCACTTATTGTTTACTTCCATTGTGAGCAATCAGCTGTATCAATTGTTTTCAATTATTGTAGTTCATTGTTGTCAACTGGATTCAAATCTGTTTGAAACGTTGAATCTAAGAAGACGGATGTCATGGAGCAACATTTCATTGCTCTGAAAAGAAATCCAAGAAAACTACTAGCATTGCTTTCATAGCAGAAAGCCAGTTGAGCGGAGCAATCATGTTTCATGTTTTTTTTTTTTAATAAAGCAATAAATAAATAGAGATAGAGGGGGGGAGAGGGAGAGAGAGAGAGAGGGGGGGAGAGAGAGAGAAATGCTTTATTAACAAAAATTTGTTTGCAGCAAAGCAATGCATATGACAAATAAAAAATATCAAATGGGTCACAGTGACCTGTGCGTGATAGATAATAAAATCTTCATAGATATAATACAAAATACAACTATTTCATCAATTTAACTTATCAGTTTCGCTTAGAACTATCAAAATCCATAACAAGTGTCATTAGAAAAGGTGTGAACATTACATATATATCCATTGTATTGGTATTTTTCCTGTGTTTGCTTGCTAATATCTGGTGAACCCACAGTTCTGGTTAAACCCGACCTTGAATCTAAACCAATCGACATTTTGTCGATCTTGGCGAGATTTTGCAGTTCAGGCAGAAATAATCCTGCATGGATCCATACGATTAGCAGATGTAACTTTTTAAAGACTTGAAGCCTGCTTTGATAGAATTACACAAATAGTGGTCACCAGGATCCGTTTTGAGGATTGTTTTCTTAATTTTTTTACATTTAACATAATTATGCGAATCATTGTTTTCAAGCAAGTGTTCTACATTCAACTATCTCAAAACATTGCCTGAAGTAGTTGTTCGGGCGTTTATTGCTCGTCTTCTACTAATATCAGGCAGTTTTTTAGAATGAAAAAAAAATTTTCCTTAATATGACACTATTATGTGAATTAGGTATTTTCTTGTAAAACAAAAACACAAAAAATACTTTATCCTACTTGGGCAATAATAATAATATACCCCAAGTTGTTGCCAACACGATGATATAATCAAAAATATTTCAAATTAAATAATAAGAAAGGATTTTCATAATAGCTTATTAAAAAAAAATATTGATTTGAAAATACCTAGTTATTTTAAACTACAAAATCATGTAGTTGTTTTAATTCCCAAGTAACAGGGGACTTGCCGAGACCGAGCCATGGCTCGGTATAGTTGATTTTGATTTAGAAGAAATATAAAGGAAACTCAAGTCCTTTACAACTCAAGTTACAACAAATTTTGGACTTATTTATTTAAGTTCCAGTGGAATTTCAATTTATTATGATGGAAAATTTGGCAATCCACAAAATATTACTTTATTTTACAGTCAATGGTAAAAATCACTCATATAGGAGAACTATTTTCCCAAAGAATTTTAGTATTGCAGATACTTTAATCTAACTGCCTAAAACGGTTCTCACACTCCACACTGCTCGCCTTTACTACTTCCTTCACCGCTTCCTACATTGTGGACCTGTTTCCCTCCCTTCCCAGAGCATTTTAGGATTGCAGATACATTAATCTAACTGCCACAGATGGTTCCCACACTAAGGACTGCTCACCTTTACTACTTCCTTCACCACTTCCTACGTCTTGAACCTGTTTCCCTCCCTTCCCATAGCATTTTAGGATTGCAGATAAATTAATCTAACTGCCACAAACGGTTCCCACACTCCACACTGCCAGCCTTTACTACTTCCCTCACCACTTTCAATGTCGCGGATCTGATTCTCTCCCTTCCCAGAGCATTTTAAGATTGCAGATACATTAATCTAACTGCCACAGACGGTTCCAACACTCCGCACTGCTAGCCTTTACTACCTCCCTTACCACTTCCAACTTCGTGGACCTGTTTTCCTCCTTCTCACAGCATTTTAGTATTTTAGATACATTAATCTAACTGCCACAGACCGTTCCCAGACTCCGCACTGCTCACCTTTACTACTTCTTTCACAACTTCCCTCGTAGTGGACTTGTTTCCCTCCCTTCCTACAGCATTTTAGTATTTAAGATACAATTATCTAACTGCCACAAACCGTTAAATAATAACTGGGATTATTATTAACCATATTGAATCTAAAATATGGCAATCAAGTGTTATAAGCTAATCAAAGAAAAAACATTAAGACAATAAATGGATAGATTTTTATTTTCCATAAGGACATTTACAATAAGCACAACAATTTTTTACAATTTTATATAAGTTCTACATGAATTTGCTACAAATTAACTAGCAAGACTATTTGGCATATAAATAAATTTAATATAGGTACTTTTTCACTATTTTCATCTAATGATAAATATTCAATAATAACAAAACAATAATGTAATAATAATTAACAATTATTTTACACAATAAATAAAATCTGGTAATCTCATGTAACATAAAAAAGATCAAAGAATAATTAAAGTTAAAATATAAATTTTAAATTAATTATAACCCTTAAAAAAAGTTAAAAATTCCAAGAATATAAAATTAATGGAGGGTGACAAATTTGCTACTATTTTCACAATGCCAACATATACAGTACTCAATTAAAATGATACCAACAAATGATTTACAGCACACTATAAGACTTTCTGAATGAATATGTTTGATCAATTAAGTGCATCAATAATAATTATTGTCTATCAAGAAACGATAAATACAGTTAAATCTTTTGAGCTAAAAGCGGTTATATGAGGTGAGATCATATGCTTATACTTGTCAAATTTTGAAGGTTAAATCAAAACAAACAAACTGGCATAATTCTTAATTGGAATTTACAATAGTTTAATATACGGTACTTACTTAAACTTACTCTACTTCTATAAAATCATTTGGCCATTAGAGAATATTTACTGTGAAATAGAGACGTGATTCATAATTCCAAATCAACTAACTTAATGAATAAGTTGTTATTAAATTATTGTCTCCAGTGGTGGTTACTTTGAGGTTGATGGAGCCAGAATTAAGAATTAAATACTCTCGAGATAAACCTTTATAGAGTAAGGTTTGGACCCATGTAAATTATGATTAACAGCTAATTCTAACAATTCACTTATGCAATCAGATAAGTTCACCAGGTACCAAACAGGATACCGTAACGTTATACTATACGATATGCCAAGGAAGCAAGATTCTAGTTTGGTTTATAAAATGCAGTAGCCTAAATAAGTACTGTAGCCTATGTTTACTAATAAATTAGACTAAGAAATAACGGTATACTAAATCAATTAATTTTACCTAAAGTGAGCATTCTTTCATAAGTAATACAACACGACCCCTAATTGACAATGCCAGTTTGTTTGTTTTGATTTAACCTCAAAAATTTACATGTATGAACATTGAACACATGATCACACTACAGCTAAAAAGGTTCATCTTCAAAGATATTCTGTTTCTAGCTAAAAAAAATCCAACTGTAAATGTTGTAAAACATGTTCAGTGCAGTGTCTAAGTGTCTTCTATAATCAATCAACATGTGTTTCAGAAAGCGAAGGTTTTATTTGGAATTTTTCAAACATGTATAAGTTACCAGTCTTAATTAATACACATTAAAATAATAACAAAATTTACCTAGAATTTTTCAAATGATACATGTTGGTGGATGAACAATGACTGATCAATATTAAAATATTTTAACAAATAAGAAAACATATGTTCAAATTTTATAAAATCATTACAATTACAATTGTATTTCTTTATTTTATTCACAGACAGAATTTATTATTTTTATCTCTAAGATGTTAAATATACTTCCCTAAAATACTTTAAAGATCATAAAATACTTGGTGGCTTATACAAAAATGTTTACACTTCAAGGTTCGTAGCAAGTGTGAACAGTTTTAGAACCACAGCCAAAAAATAATATACAAGCAAAACATTAATAACGATCATCCCGACCACTTAAATATAACAACGTCTAAAAAAATACAGTACACTCTCTTTTAACTGACCCTGGGGCTCGAGTTCAGATAACCTGAGATGTCGGTTAAAACAGCCAACTTGAGAAGTTTTTCAAATTTATGGCAGAGAAAACTACCTTAAGTTTAGCATCTCCAGGGGCTAATATAAGAAGAGGTTGATGCAGGGTCAGCTAACAGAGGGTCTACTATACACATTTTTAAAGATACAAGTTGGAACTGTACTTAAACGTTAAATTTAGTTTCCGAACCATCAGCCAACATGAGTGCAACAGTGCGGTTGCTGATCCACACCAGTTTTGCCAACCTCATGGGGTTGAGACGAGACATTTCCGCCACTGGAGAAGTGCTGTAAGACTTGGTGCACTTGGTCTGACTGTTGCCCAGACCAAACATACCAGTGGAAGTCTGTAAAAGTAACAGTCAGAATCAAAATATGATCATATCATTATGTGTAAGACCATTATCAGAAAAATGCAAGATTTGAACTAAAAGGGTTGTGGGTAAATTAAGTTGACTGCACACCTTGTTCTTTACTTCTCCCACTACTATACTAGCCGGTCCACTCACCCATTCAACCATTCATTTCATTGTAATAGCTGTGTCAGATTTGAACTAACTCGTTTGACTGTGACTAGAGCTTAAGAGAGACTCAACTTTAGAACACTTATTTTTACAAAGGATTTAAAAGTAGTAATCTCCGTAATATTGAAAAGATGAGGTGGATTTTGCCAGTGTATTGATGTCTCTTGTGTGTTTTAGCGAATTTTCCTATAGGGAAGTAGCTATTACCGTAGGTGGCACGGTAAGACCTGGAGACGGGACAAATATACTTTTTCATTTTGATGTCCCTAGAGGCCAAAAAAACTATTCGTAAAAATTTGTATATATATACGTATGTGAACGCGATAACCTGAGTAATTTTCGACTGATTTTGATGTCATTTGGTTTAAAAGTGTAAGGCGGGATACACTGAATGAGTTCACGAACCAGCATGATCGGACCATGGGAACAGGGTTTAAGGGGGGGGGGGGGGGGGGTTATGGGGTAAAACTAGGCTTTTCTCATTTTTTGCCCTCATAACACAAAATTTCCCAATTTCTCTCTAGACCATTTTAAAGAGCTTAAACAAATAATAATTTAGTATACCAAAGTGTTTTTGAACAGCTATTGGTTACGGAAAAAATTTAAAAAAATTGCAAATTAAAAATTCTTATGTTATTCTTTAGGAGAATATTGTTAACCTCTTGGAGTCCGGTTTTAGCTATGTCAGTGATTTACTGCAGTCCGGGTTTTTTTCGATGAAAATGTAGATACTTTTTTAAAAATTTGTATAAAATCAGTAAATAGTGTAAACATATCAATATATATATTTATTTTGTTTGCAATGAAGAGAGAAATCAGAAAATAACATAAAAAATTAAAAGTTTTAGAGTTTTTTTTGTTTTTTTTTTAAAAAACAAAAAAAAAAAAAAAAAATCGAACATAAATTTCAAAAGTAATGGTTCTGTAAAAGTACAAATTATTTGATATTAAAAATCTATTATATACATCTGTTAGACAATTTAATTCCTTACATAGAAATATATACAACAACTAAAGAATACTATATTTTACACGAGCTATGTTCAAAAAAACGAAAAAGCGTAAATCGCAAAAATGTGACTTTGCACGCCATTTATTGTAATTTAGAAAAATAATTTTGAAAATTTATAAAAGCTGGTAGAAAGTTACATTTTGTAATCTAATGTTATAATTTAACTTATAAATTGTGTAAAGCACATAAACACACATATATATATAATATATATATATATATATAGTAGGCTATATGTTTGCAATGTCAAGGTGGGAACAGCAGCTTTGATATAAAATTATGTTAGGCTGAAGCCTAATTTGTACCAAGCCTACTACAAAATCATATGTAAAATAAATAAAACCCAAGAAAGAGACATTCAACTTACTTTCTAAAATTGTTGGAGTGTGTGGTAGTCCTTCATGCAAGGGTACACACAAAGAGGAACGCCGCATTCAGTACACATGTACGGTGTGTCCTTCCTTTTCTGGGGCCTAAGCTTAGTGTTTGAACAAACATGGCAGTAGCGACGAGGTTTCAACTTTTTATCAGTTGGTGGGATTGGTGTGAGGAAATGTCGTTGGGTGAGACGGAGCGGAATCTCGCCTTTTGATGGTCGCCCACCTTGAATATTGGTTCTCATCACACGGTGATGTTCTAAAATCTGCCTGACGAGCTCCCTGCGATAATCTGATAGCTGCAAATTCTTGTTTCTTTTTTGGACTTCATTGTGCAGAATATATGAATTTCTGATTGTTACGTCCAAGAAGTGGAAAAAAAGTTTCTTGTACCACTTGATACTTTTTCTTGCAGAACAGTTGAAGGACAGTTGCATATCACCAATATCGATAGCCCCCATGTTTTTGTTGTAGTCCACCACTGACAAGGGCTTTTTGATTTCCTCCCCAGTTTCCCAGTTGTTTTTCCCTATGCCAATCATGTCGCTGGTATGCATCGTACTTAGCATCCTAACCTCTCTTTTGTCTTGCCAACGTAGGTACATCATATTTTCTGTACAATGTACATCTGTTTTACCTACATCTAAGGGGGCTAGTTTTTTTGGTAAACCCTGTCGATTGGGATTGACTGTTCCACACATGTTTGTGTTGCGCTTCATCAGTTCCTGAGCTAGTGACGGTGAAACGTACCAATTATCCAAAAACAATTTATGCCCCTTATCGAAGTAGGGTTCTGTTAGTGTTAGCACCACTTGCCCCGTCATGCCTACTTTTTCTTTTAATTCTGCAAACTCAAGTTCCGTTTCTGATCCTAAATAGGGAAGGATGTTCAAAACATAGCCTGTTAGACAGTCTGAGATCACAAACATTTTGATTCCAAATCGTGCTCGCTTTGAAGGAATGTACTGTCTAAAGGCTAACTTACCCTTATAGAGAAATAGCGTCTCATCTATCGCCAGTTTTTCAAAGGGCTTGAATTTAGATGCAAACATTTTGTTCAACGTACATAAAATTGGTCGAATTTTGTGAATCCTGCCAATTGATTTAGGATTGGGCACAAAAAATTGGTTGAAATGAAGGGTTTTCAATATATTTTTGAAACGATTCCTACTCATAACCTGCCCAAAGATCTTTGTTTCCAGTAGTGAATCTGTAGACCAATAATCATTTATTTTATTTTTTCGGACCTGAGACATTAGAATACACAAGGCGAGGAAGCAGAGAATCTCATCCTCGTCAACCGGTTTCCATGTACTTAGCTCGTCAACAGAAGCATAATTTGGGAGTTTGGTAATTACATCTGTAAAATAAGAATTCGTTTCTGATACAATATGAGTTATCAGTTCCATGGTAAAAAGCTGTAAAAACATTTCTAAATACGACGATCCTTTAGGTATGTCATTATCGATTCCGGATGTTGTGTTGTCAAATTCAAACAATGTGGGAGAGAATGTCTGGTTTGACTTCCACGGGAATGTTATTTCTGGCTTCTTATTCCCTTTATTTCTCTTTTTTTTAGCTGCAAGCACAGGCCTAGCAGGTCTACCTGTTCGTTTATTATTACGCCTAGGCCTAACTCTAATATTAGTCACAGGCCTATCTGTAGTGTTATGCCTATGTTCCTCAGCAGTAAGTGAGTCTAACCCTATCATTGCATCATCTTCAGCCTCATAATTTTCTTGGTCAGCAACTAGTCCTGGCATTGTTGTTTCACTCTCATTTTCATCTACATCCATATATACAAGGTCTTCTTCATCAACAACTAACCCTAAGTTTGCATCATTTTCATTCTCAGAAATAGGCCTAACACTATTTTCTTCAAAAATATTCTCTATGGTACTAAGCATGTAGTTGTCCTCAGGTAGGCCTAAATCATAATCATTGTTACTTACATTATATACACTATTTACATCATTTGGGTCAAAACAACTCGGGCCAGGAATGGAATCGTTGTAGAGGTTAGTTGAACTCGATGCATCCCCTGCAGGTCCAGGAACACTTGTCGCCGTAGATCGTTGATGAGAATAAATAAACCCCTCTTCACTGTCACTTTCACCGTCCGATAAATCACTAAAATCATCTCGAGACAAATATTCTGATATTTCGTTGTCCCGAAGTTTGTTAGATCGCGAATCCATTACACAATGTTTACCAAAACACAAACAAAAACAAACAACTCGCGTACGTATTATTGAGTAACACTAGTGACAGCTGGGAGCGGAACGAAAACGATTCAGAACTAGCAGTGATGCAAGACTAATAGAACAAAACAAAATATCCCATGATTCCCTGGATTCCCCTGAACAGATCAATACTAAACACAACGTATTAGTGTAACAGCTGACAGCAAAAAAGAGCACGAAAATAACAAGTTGACGTCAGCTCGCATATGTGCGGGCGTGGACCGCTGGCGCGACAGTCGTCTGCTCGCATATATGCGAGCGTGGACTCCAAGAGGTTAAATGTTGTAGTTTGCTTGTTTATGAAAATATTTTGATCAAACTTGGCTAATGTATTTATTTTATACTAAGCTACTAATATTTTACAAAAAAAACATTTTTTATTAGCCTCCCTGTAGCAGCAAACCTAGGTACTCGTTAAACCTAATTAATGTTATTTAAATAGATTAATTGAAAATCAATTCAGGCAAATGGAAATTTGCTTAGTCTGGAGGTTTGCTGTGGCAGGGGTATTTGTTGGTTGTAATAATTACTGTCTGTGCCGTGATTATACACAACGGTCGATCACGGAACTGAGGCATATTACTGTCTTCAGTGTCTTCAGAACCTACTGGGACTCGGATTGTTGTCACAAGTAGTTTAGACAATAGACAAATTTATTTATTATTATTTTCTTCAAGAAATACAATAGTGTCATGTTTGTTCAGAACTCTTGCTTAACAAGTATTTTCTGGTCTTCTATCTTTATAAGAGATAGAAAAAATATTTGGTTAAGTTAACAGGTCGTTTCACCAGCCAGTCTCGCAGTCCATGTTTTAGTGAGTTTCCTTTCATAGTCTTGAGGTCTTGGGGCAGTGCATTGATGATCTTAGGCCGATATAGGATGGTTTCTTACTGAACTGTGTTGTATGGTGTGCAGGAAGGCTGAAATCTGTTGCTCTTCTGGTCTGGTATGGGTGAAAATCTCCATTACTGGGAAGGTCTAGCTGATCAGTGTATAGAACAACTGCACTGATGTGAAGTGCTATGACTGTTGGGAGCTTTGGCAATTTAAAGGCTTCTCTTGATCCGTAGGGTCAAGATCCATGAGAGCCCTAATGGCCTTCTTCTTAAGTACCAGGATTTTGTAGAGGTTAAGGTTGGTTTCAGATGTTCCTCCCCATGATATTAATCCATACTGTACCTGAGATGGGATTCCACCAAAGCAAAATATGCTGTCTTAGCTTGTTGCATGCCTGCAGTCCATTTCATCCTTTTCACCACATGGATCCCAGATAACAGCTTCTTTGTTAAGTTGTTTGGTCTGTCCAGGAGAGATCAGCATCAATAGTAACACCCAGGAGTTTAAACTGGTTTTCTACTGAAATATCAGGTGTTTCAGGTATGTGATCCAGTCTTCTGCTTGCAAGTTTCCAACTGTAGACCACACAAGAGTTGCTCACAGCACACTGAGTCATAGTGTGTGTAATACACATGAAATATTACTGTTCAGTGTTCATATGCTCGTAAACTCACTATGATCACAATACCCATCGACATAGACTAATTATTTGGTCAGGTTCTAAACAAATCTATGCAAAGAATGCCCGTAGATTTTACTCTAGTATAAAATTTAATTAATTAACACCAACCTGCCAAAAGGAGAGTCGATTTTCCCCACAACTATAGGAGACGAGAACTTTGCCATCAGGAGAAAATGCTAGCGCTGTTATAGAAGTACCATGGGCTGTAATAAGCTGGAAGCAAACATTACATTGATTCATCGATTACCTGAGTATTGTCAGCCGTTATAGTGTATGAATGACACTTGCAATCTAGTAATAAATGTTTGTACTGGAGCTATATTAATTAAAAATGGTTAAGTTAAATTTTGAGAGCTGTTTAGATTTTGATAAATAATAAACAGAGATGGTTTCATTTTGAAAAATTCTAGGTCATGGTTAATTTTCACAGTCAGAGATTTCCATCTTATATTATAGGAATGAAATACTTTTTGTTCTCTTACCCTCTAAAAAAACTAAATGAGTTATAAAACTATTAGACCAAACCCAGTAACAGTTTATGTTGTTTTAAGTTTTGCTTTACTAACTACTTAAATAACAATTTTTCAATGGTTATAATAGCATGTTTTTCTTTTGAGTTGTTCTACCATACATTTCTATTACTAAGTCTATAAAAGCATATAATCTGCCAAAATTACAATTTATCGTCTACTTTTTTTATGAAGGATATGACAAGATTTTTTTCATAATGTGTCTCCAGAATTGATTAAATAACACAAAGAGACATTTACTTTTACAATATTTAGAATACGAATACGCGAGGCCGGCCAAAGATGAAACCAGACTCAAAGTAAAAGTAAATGTCTCTTCATGTTTGTTTCTTTGTCATGTGTAAATCATTTTTAAATTTGACAACGGCAAGTGCTGAGTAATTCATGTTTGACGAGAAGAAATTCAAATAAGGATTTGTAAATGGGGTTAAAACCCCAAAACTAGTTAAACACTAGAAACAATAGGACTGATCGATGACAGGTCAGTAACCTTATTTATGCTATCATATAAGTTGCGTAGAGATACCTGGCACTTGGAGGAGCGCAGTTCGTACAATGCGATCTGTCCGTTCTTGGCTCCGACAGCGATGCGCCGTGTGGCCGGACAGTGGCTGACCTGGTTGAAGCGGCAGATCGCCGGGAACACATCACTCAGTCCCTTCATCTTGAGATGTCCCGGGTCTACACAGTGAAGGATGATGTCCATCACCTGTAAACCACAAGATGTAAAAACAATCACACCTGCCTCTAGTGATAAAAACTATAGAGTTGTTTACCATATGGGGGTTTTAAGTTTAGGGTTGACCAATATTGTTAGTGCAGTATACAACTAGGCCTGGAATAACCAATGCTAGGATTCATTGTCTGGTTGGGAAAATAAGAGTAAGATATCGAAAACTCACCATAGAAAGTAAAAGACAGAAAATGTTCAATGACCTTTTTAGTAAGTTTTAGAGCGTAATTGTCCATAATAAATTGAGTTAATAATTTTATTTTGGTGATGTGTGTGTGAAAATATAAAGACAGCAATGATAATAAGAGTGATTTAAATTCAACTTTGTCTCTTTTTCTAACAAAAACTATTATTCATTAAAAACCTATTTACGCCACACTACATTATTTTGACGAACTTCCCACGCAAGGATTTAGTCCAGAAAACAGCTGTTTGCCGCCAGCTTATTCAAATGGGGTTTCATTGCGTAATACTGTTCTGCAATGAGTTTTACTGGACACCAATCAGCTGATTATACTGTATTTGCGTGGCAATGATTTGGTTATAAACAAAAACATAACCTCTCTCAGAGGTTATGACTAGTGATGTTTAGTCCTTTAGTTGGTGGAAATATATAAGGATTTGTACGAATTAAGTAGTATGGCGTAAACTATCGTACGTAACTCGTCCAAAATGTGTGTACCGGACTCGTATGGTAATCCCGTACTCGACTTCGTCTCGCACGGGAACGACCACACTCGTCCGGTAAACACTTATTTTCAGGACTAGTAACGTAATATACTATTTCAAGAGTAAAATTTGCAGTGCTGTAGGATGTAGGTATCGTCTTTTCACAATATAGTTATGTAATGATCACTTTGCATAGGTACTTTTTTGCTACTTGAGTACAGAACTTTAACAAATTAGTACAGTGCAATTAGCTTAAAAAAAGAGCAAACCGGGACATCCAAAAAAAAAAGTTTCAAACCAGCGCCAAATTGTTGAATACACTTCCCTCAATATGTAAAAAAAAGTTACACTGATTTGAGTGTAGGGTTTGGGGGGGTGGGGGTGAAAATGGGGTGAAAATAGGACTTTTTTTTAAATTTTTTGCAAATACCTCAAAAACGGTGCGTTTTTCTTAAAACACAATGAATTACAAAAATAATCTACATAAAATTTCGAACAAAATGATACCATACAATACCTATCTACAATGAACGGTTCAGGAAATATTGGGGGGTAAATGTGGTTTTTTCTTGAAATTATAAAAAGATTTGTTTTATAAATGGAGAAAAACCATGGACACCCATAAAAAAGATCCTAATGAGTGCTAAATTATTCAAAAGACCTCCCTTAATATGTGTAATAATGTTACACTGATTTGAGTCTCTGATTTTGGTAGGAGGGTTTTCAAAAAGGGAGGCTCGTAAAGGGTGCGTTTTTTTAATATAATGAATTACAAAAATAATCAATTTTGAATTTCAAACACAATCGTACTATACAATACCTATCAACTATGAACGGTTGTAAAAATTGCAACTACATTCTAATTTAATAAAATACGATAAAAATATTGATTTCCTTGTAAAAAAAATTGCCACCATTTTCCAAAATGGCAGCTAACTTTAATATTGGAACCTTCTGTATTTCATGGTCTGTTTAAGATATAAATGCGATTTTAACAATTTGTTGTTCTTTGCATTTTCTCTATAAACTTATTCGTTTATGAGCTACAGGATGCGGAATGTACACAGCAAGCCTTTTTTCCATAAGTGTAACACGTTGTAACTCCTAAACGAGTAGTTTTTAAGAGAAAATGTCAAAATAAAAAATGTTTTTAAATTCCATTTAAATTCTAAAACAATCATAAACCACAGGGTGTTCCATAAGAAATAACAAAGTTGTCGGCCATATTGGAAAATGGCAAACATATTTTTTAAATTGGAAATCATCCCAAAAAACATCTAAAAAGTAAAGGGGAGTGCTCCATAGTCAACTCTATTACTCATAATAAAAAAGTTAGCTATTGGTTCACTTAACGTGAGACATCCTACAGGGTGTCCCGTAAGTAAACAGCCAAACTACAGGAAATGGTTCTATGGGTTAAAATAAAAAGAAAATGAAAAATAAATTATTTCCCAAAATCGTTTCGTTAACCAGATATTTGCTATTTTGTTTTTTTTTACACATAAACATTATTTTATCTTTGAATTTTTAACCGATCATTATGTAACTTGGTATGTCTGTTGAGGTAAAATAGACTCTCGTTAGAAAAAGAATTATCTTAATCCAATTTAAAATTTCAAAATAGCGGCCAATTAATTTTTTTTAAATTTAAATTGCAAAAAATGGCTAATTTTATGAACAAAAGTCTATAAAAATTTTATTTAGCTTTTAAAATGATGAAAATAATAAAAAATAAATTAAATATCACGTTTTTTTGCTGCAAAATGAGGCAAACCTGAATAGCGTAGCCTTGATCATAATAATTTTACAACTAAATATCGTTATATTTTAGTTATTTTTTATTCGATCTTTTTGACCTTGGTGTCGTTTGATAGGGAATTTTAAAACCTAAATAAAAGTGTTCATGACATTTTTTCATAAAATTAGCCATTTTTTGCACTTTAAATTTAAAATATTTAAATGGCCGCCATTTTAAAATTCTTCGTTGGATTACGATATTTTTTTCTTCTTTTCGTGGGTCTGTTTTACCTAAATATTCATACCAAGATTAATAAATAATCAATGATAAAACACACTAATGAATTTAAACTGTAGAAAGTTCACTGTGTTCACGTATCTAGGTAGATTTGTTGTTTCAGGTAGGTAAGTCATTAGTAAATCGTAGCAATATATGTGTTAAAAAGGAAAATAAAAAGTGTAACTTAACAAAATTTACAAAATTACTTATGAATAAAATTCCCCACCCCGTTTTCACATCCTCCTACCCACAACCGGCCGGCAAATCAGTGTAACTTTTTTTTACATATTGAGGGAAGTGTATTCAACAATTTGGCGCTGGTTTGAAACTTTTTTTTGGATGTCCCGGTTTAGGTTTAATTGCACCGTACTAAATAGAAAACATTGCAAATCAAACCATTGGTATGCAGCTGAGTTTTCATTCTCATTTTACCAAAAATTCATTTGTTTCTCAGTACTGTATATTTTTATATATTTGCCTGTTTTAACTGACATCTTTTAGGTTATCCGACCAAGATCCAGTGCCTGTAAGTTAGGTCAGGTTTGGTGTGCAAATTATGAGGAGTTCACCTGTTTGTGACTGGGTTTAAGTGGGAGAGACCCATATAAACTGAACAGTTTGGATGGAAGGAAGTTGACATGATAGGTAGATTTACTGTAAATTGTACCTCAAATCAGATATTTTCCTACTTTTCACTGTTTATATCTTATGTTTATACATATTTTTAATTTCTATTTACTGTGCGAGGGTACAAAAAAATTTGTATGAAATAATTTGGATTTTGGTGTTCATGAGATGAGGGAAAACATAAAAAAATGTATTATTAAAATACTGAATTCAAGGGGTTAACCGACCTCTACAAGCAGGTCCGATATCTCAGTGTACATCTTATCAATGAGAAGTTCCACACAACGCAGAATCTCAGTCTTGGAGCGATGCAGCACGTTGTTGCTGAGGTTGACGTTCAACGTTTGTGCGTTCTGCTGCAGCGTGTTATACCTTGCCACCTGCAAAGTTATTAGAAAGTAGCAATTTGTGGGTCAGGAACAACAGTAAATAACTATTTGCGATCAAAAGACTACTTTTAGGTTGTCAAAATCGTATGGTTGGCCAGCTGTACTGGCCACAGTCTTTTTGCACAACAGATTGGATAAATTTATTATAGATTGCCTTTACCACTAAAATGCACTCGCCTAAAAACAGGCTAATGCTTAATACCAGTGGCCAAAGAAAAGTGTTTTTTCAAAATGTTGTTTCTTTTTATGTCTGCTTATTGGCACCTGTCCTGAGTGCAATTGGTTATTGATCCTGTGTACCTCTCTAGCCAGTGTAGTGATGACTGCCGCAGGTCTGGCGCTGGCTATCAGAGTGAGAGCGTGTCTGGCAGTGCGGGCGGAGTCAGCAGCAGGGGTGAGCGGCAGTCCGTAGCTCATGCTGCAACAATGTTACCAACTTAGCAATACACAGCACAAAATAATAGCTGAAACACAAGTAGAAGAAAAGCCCAATTAAATTACACTGATGAAAAAATAGCTAATATATCTATGAATAGGTTTCATGTTCTCATATTGTGGCTGTGGCCTGAAGCTAAGAAAATGATAATGTATTCACTGTAAGCTACACAGATATGTTGAACAGTTTACAGAGCATCAGTAGTTTATTGAATTTTGGGTTTCTTTTATTTTATTCAGAATACATCGTTCAAGATTTTTTTTACAGAAAATTGTTATCAATTATTTAGTCTATCATCAAAACGACATTCAAAGGAATCCTACCTGGGAACAAGTTTGTCAGCATCGCAACACAGCTCTAGCAAGGCTAGTAGTACTCGGCTTACGTCTATGTACAACTCCCACACTGTGAACCCTCGGCCAATCAGATCAATGGCTGCACGGCGCAGTGGTGTGTGGGCTGGCAGACGTGCACTGGGCGGCGTCGTAAGTAGGTGCATCAGCGCAAGACCTACAGAGGAAAGATGCTTAACTCATTATCCAACATACATATTTTAAAAAATACATTCATTACAAGGCACTAGATAGCTAAGATTACAGGAGGTATATTCGTATATTTTTTACTCAATAAGGAGATAAAAAAAATTGATCTACTTTACTTAACCTGCAAAATTATTGTAAATATAATTTTTCACCAACGACAGACTATTAATTTTTAATATTGAATAGCATTAACTTATTTTTTATTTAATTAGGTTTTTATCATGAAATATCGTTTTGTAAATTATATTATATTTGAAAAATAATAATTAAAATAAATATTTAAGTTGGACAAGTGTATTGTGGCCTACAAATATGATTGTGTACATGAAATGAATTATATACAACCTTTTCAGATAACTTCATGCTTGACTAGCTATGTATTGTGGTATCAATATTGAAGTAAAACACTTTCTTTATACAAATTATTCCCTGGCTCACTTTATGATATCTGAACCAATCTCAGTAAATTCATTAACACTTAGAAAGATCGTTGGGGTAAAACATTGTCACACTATGTTGATTGTTGAACAATCACTTCTAACATGATTTTATACTCTATTACTTTTTACACAATTTCTGAATACAGAGAGTAAACAAAATTAGACACCAACTTGTAAGCCTGGCGAGATTGTTGTTGCCGATGCCAAAACCCTCTACGACAGAACTCTTGCGTCTCTGGTCTTCAGCTCGTTTCTTGGTGGCGTCTCCAACATCTTGTCCAAACTCTGCTCCAATCACACCCAGCAACACTACGGCTGTAGTTTGTTTGCGCTTCAGCTCCGCTAGTGAAGATGGCTTGCGAACGCACAACTCTGCAAAATTTGGGTACAATTAAAAATAGTATACTTAATAAGTTTTATGATTCACAAGCAGAGTACCAGTCCTTCCTAAGGGGTTGGCATTTAAGTATAAAATGTTTATTGCAGTTATACCACGTCCTCCTTTAACTACAGGCCGCGGCGTTTGAAGTGGCAACACCGCATGGGATGGCTGGGTAGCTACTGCTAAGCTACACCACTGAACGCTCGCGTCGCGGTGGATTGTAGCAAGCGCGCAAATTATCTATTAATTTAGATATTTTATATCTGACAACACTGATGTGTAGGAAAAGAAGGAAAGAATTATACGAGGTTTTCGTGTCAATACAAGAATATAATATTTATTAAAACCTTTTACGATACATTGAACATTTGAGTATTAGGCCTATAATTGTTGTTTTCTTCCTCCTCTTCTATGTCTTTACTCTATGATTTATTATTTGTTAAACACTTAAAATTTACATTGTATTTACAATGTTATTTAGTTACAGCTTCTCGTCGGGTTAGTTACAGTTTATAACAACTATTCTCGTCGGGTTGTGCTGCTTGTAACACTTGATGTGCGAAACTCCGCGCACGCATTTAACTCCGCGAGGTCCCGGCGTACCTGATGCGCATTATAGAGGACTATCTCCGGTTCCGCCTCCTTATTTATGACACTACAGAAGGCTCCAGGACGATGAAGGTAACTTCTGGTGCTGCTCAAGGATCCATACTGGTCCCGGACCTCTGGAATGTCGCCTACGACAGCCTCTTGAGATCCGAGATGCCTAATGAAACTGTCTTAGTTGGGTATGCAGATGAAGTTGCCGCCTTAATAGCTGCACGTAACATTGAGCTTGCCCAGCTGAAACTAAATCGAGTCATGCGCACCATTAACGCATGGATGGCAGAACATGCTCTGAGCAAAACTGAGATTGTGATTCTGACTAAAAAGAGGATTGACAACATCAATAATGTACCTATGCCGTTGAGGGTGGGGAACATTGAAGTCCAAATCACTCGTGCCGCAAAGTACCTTGGGGTCATGGTTGACAGCAAGCTCAGCTGGCGAGACCAGATCACCTGTACGGGGGACAAGGCCGCTTAAGTGGTTTCTTCCCTTAGTTGGTTAATGGCCAATGTCGGTGGTCCGCGGTCCAGCCGCAGAAGGCTGTTGATGTCTGCAGTCCAGTCCGTGCTCCTGTACGGTGCAGAAGTGTGGGCAGACGCTCTCAATAAGGAGATATATAGGATACGGAGAGGTGAACTTCTACCTCACCCAATTTCTCACGGCTTTTTCCGGTCGTACTTGTTCAGGAAGGGCAAAGCCGTGTCACCCGATTGCATATACTGCCCAGGCATTCCCGATGACGTGGAATTCACTTTCTTCCACTGCCAGCGTTGGGAAAGGCCCTGCGTGGAGGCTCAACAGTTTAGAACTGCTGTCGGTGGACACAGTCATACCGAGGATGATGGAGGGTGAGGACAATTGGACCTGTGTGTCACTTTACATCCAGGACATTCTCCGCGCCAAGAAGCTCGACCTTGACCGGGATGTGTAGGTCATAAAAAATCGAAATGCCAGAAATGGTGCGAGCCTTGAGGGCTTAGGTCACATGTTAGCCTGACTTGAAGTAATGTGACAAACAATTCCAGGTCTGTGTCCAACAGAGCAGAGGGGGTTTTTAATGGGAAAATCCCCATTTCAGAATTTAAAGGGCTACAACAAACTAAATTGTTATCAAAATCGTTCGGGCCATTTTTGAGAAAATCCGATTTTCCAGTTTTTAATGGGAAAATCCCCATTAAGACATCCAAACACACAGACATCACTTCGAAAACCACTTTTTTGGGTCCAGGGGGACCCTAAACGAATATATCCACACGTTTTAAACATTTTAAACAACATTTTAACATTTTAAACATTTTAAAAGCAAATGTTTAATGATCAGTCCACTCAAAACTCAAACTCAAAAATTTTGACAAAAACAATAATACACTATGGTATAGGGGGAGAAAGTAATAACAAAAGCAATAAATAATATATTTTATTCAAGAGAGGATTGACATTTTTCTATGGTTACAGTGGCTATTATTTTTCTCTTTTTTACTTTCGTGTAGTTATTTATCTGAACAGCTGTTCGTTATTTCATAGATGGTTATGTGACAAACATTGGGAGAAAACTTGACAAAAATCGCATAAAATTATGTTTCTAAACGTACGTAATTTTATTTACAAAGTAGTGAGGCCATATTTTAATAGCTAAAGACACTCTCGCTAATCCAGTGAATACATTAAAATCATTTGGATCTTGATAGGTACTCTAGTTTTTCAGGAGAAGGCCGTGTAAAATGGCTCTTGGGCCTTGACAGACAGGCAGACAGACAGATGGAAATTGGGATGTATAAAACATAAAAATAACCAAAAAAAATTATGATTCTGAGCAATGTACAGACAAAACTCAAATTTTATTTATATAGATTAGCTGTTGTCATAAATGAAAAAAAGAATAATAGTGCTGCACCCTTTGGTTCAATTCAATTCAAAACTTATTTATTCTGTAATATGTAAATTGTTTACAAAGAATAGAGTCAGACCTAACCTAAATTATGCCTAATATTATTAATATCTAAAAATACATCCCACAGTTGAGTTTTTAGCTCTTAGGATAATATATACAACATACGTTACACACATCACTCCAAAGAATTAATGGAAAAAAATAAAAATAAAATAACTACAACTGAGTCTTAAAAATTAATAAAAACAATAGGTAAAATACGGATTATATACATACAGTAATTAATTACTATATCCTAGAATAACCACGTCCAGCAAAGATTTTTCTAATTATAATTTTCAGGTACCTATGTCTTAATTATATTAATTTTGACTATGAGAAAAAATGTTGGAGAGAGTAAAAAGTTGATTCAATCAAGTATGCCTTCAATAGTCTCAAAAATTTATTTTGATTTTTTTCCAATTTAATATTTCCCGGAAGGCCATAAAAAATCTATTTCCTACAATATGTTGTTTTCTTTTTGAAAAATTCCAAATTATGTTGTTCTACTAAACGATGAGCTCTAGTATTATAAGAATGTGTTGTATTGCCAATCAAAATCCTATTGCCGAGTAATGTAAATTTTATTGTTTCATAAATGTATAAACTGTAAACTGTGAATATTTTTAAATCTTTAAAAATATGTTTTACAGAATCTTTTGATTTTAAATTAAACACAAGAGGTTCTACCCGCGAATTCACGGGTGAACAGAAGCCACCATTAAATTAATTTAATCAACTTTGACTTTATATTTCATTTAAAGGGCCCAAGTTTGAGAAATTGTCATCTGAAAGGGTGTTAAAAGCAGTGGAACCTTCATCCCTTACGTCCTAAGGTTGGCCGAGGTTGTACCTGAACACGCAGCTCTCTTTCACAACGTCTTTAATACTTTACTTTAATACTTTTCAATGAAATTGCGACCTGTTTAAGATCGGTGACAACCTCTTGGAACGAAGAACATACATAGTTTTTAATCCCATATTCATCGTGTTTCGAACACCTTTAATCACTCACTTGCATCAAACAGCTAGAAATAGCTTCACTGTCCATTCGCCGCACTTCTTTTAAGAACATAAAAGTAAATAATAAAATAGGTAAACAAAAATGTAAACAAACAAACGATATTGTCAATTCCATTGGCCAGCTGTTGTTCACTAAATTAATCGAATAATAACTTCCAAAACATGCAAGGCGTAGCCCTTTGGAAATCAGCCCGTGGGGCAGAGCCCTTAGGTAGTTTGTCCATATCAATACTTTTTGGCAAATCTAAACACTCTAAGGTTTATTTTGATATGCCATATGCCTATATTTTTATTTGGTAAATGGCCTTAACCTCTTACATAAAATTTGATTGTATCGCTTTAATAATATAATAGATAATTCTTAAAGCTCTTTTTTGCTGAATCAGAATTGTATCCATGTTCTTCTTTGTTGTTGATCCATATATACAAACACTATAAGCAATATGTGAATGTATTAGAGCAAAATATATGGATATTAAGGTTTTAATATTACAGGAGTAGACCAGTCTCCTCAAAGCATGTAGACCACTTGAGGTTTTATTCATAATATGATTGTCCCAAGATAGGTGTTCATCTATAGTCAAGCCTAAGAATTGGATTTCATTTAAATGATTTAGTATTTCATCTTCTAGGAATATTGTTGGACTTATTCTATTTTTTTTTTTTTTTTTGTTGAAAAAGATAAAAAAAAAACTTGATTTACTGGAGTTTAATAGCAGATTTGTACTATTTAAAAAGTCTTTAATCAGTGATAAGCCAACGTAGGATGATATTTTTATGTTCTCTTTATTGTTGGCTGAGACAATGACGTTGGTATCATCTGCATAAAGACACACTTTCTATTTCTGTCCCCCATCATTCTAGGTAGCCCCTTTAGGTAACATAGAAACAGTAAAGGGCCCAGAATAGATCCCTGAGGGACACCGTATTGGATTGGTAATGGACGAGAAGCAAATTTTTCTTTATACATAAACTTCTGATGATCTGTAAAATACTCTATATCTACATATTGTTTCCTTTCTGTAAGGTAGGAGCAAAACCAAGCCAATTCTGTACTTTTTACACCTAGAGAGATTTTAACTTGGATCAGTTTGCAGTGCTCAACACTATCAAAAGCACAACTTTTTAATGCTATTGCATATCATAGAACCAACTTAGTTGAAACAGCTGACTAAATTTTTTAATTCCTTTTAAATATGAATACTCATAAGGTTAACATGGGGAACTACAGAGCCACTGAGGCGGAGCCCGAAAGGATTTTTGCCAATATGTTTATCGGGAATGTGAGCTATCATCATGCCAAATTTCAGCCCAATCTGTCCAATAGTTAATACGTGATTGAACTTCAAACAAACAAACACACTAACTATCACATTTATAATATTATAGTAGGATAGTATGATTTTATAGCCCCAGATTTGCATGGCAAGACAAATAAAGGCTGAAACATACCTTGCCAACAATGCTTAAAATTTAGTAAATAGCATGAAATAAAACTTATACTATGTTTTGGCAAGCAGCAAAAGAATACCGTTGCTAAGATTTCATCGGAATAGATTAAACACAAACACAGTTTACATAAAAAACATAAATAAGCATGTACTAGATAGACACATGTAATTGTTTTTCCTATTACTGTGTTTGTTTTTGATTTCACCTTAAGAAGTAGATTCTTCTGTAGCATTTCTACATGCTACTTTCACTAAATTTAAAGTACTGTTTCCTTCCATCAAGGTATGTTTTTGCCATTGTTTGCCAAATCAGTTTTGTTTCTGCAAAAAATGTTATTTGAAAAAAAAACACACAGTCACTTTGGGTGACGTAGCTCAGAAATTAGACTAAACACTCACATGGATAAATTTCTCTATGCTGCCACATTTGAAGGGTAAAACCTGGCTATATCTAAAAACAAAACTAAAAATACTAACCCTCTGCTCCTTCTTCTTCTTCCTCTTCCTCCTCTTCGTGAGTGACAGGTTGTTCTTGTCCTGTCTGAAATGAAAACAATCAAACTTTACTGTTGGTGTTGTTATAATTTTGAGAATTTAATAACCAGACCAAGCATACCTAATTGCATGAAAAAGTGTAATAGTTTAGCAATAAAAGTAGCTTAATATTAAAAGTTTAGTCTGTGAAATAAATTATGAAATGTGTAGAGGATTCAGGAACATTTAAAATAAACATAATATTGCTGATAACAAAAAAATCTTGAAACTTCCGTACCTGCCCTTGCTGCTGTGTTGGTGGCTGCGCTGGGGCGTTAACCTCCGCAGAGCTAAACTGTGGCAAATACTGTGCCCAACTGTCTACCAGCGCCTTGCGACCCTTGGGTCCAACACGACCCAACTCTGCCAACAGCAGGGCCTGGGCTGCCTCTCGTACCTGGACAACATACGAGACTGTGTAAGTAAACCTCCACAGAGTTATACTGTGCCCAGCTAACTACCAGCGCCTTGCGACCCTTGGGTCTAACACGGCCCAATTCTGCCAACAGCAGGGCCTGGGCTGCCTAACGTATACCTGGTCAACATACAAGACTAAGTAAGTAAACCTCCGCAGAGCTACCTTGTGCCCAACTAACTACCAGCGCCTTGCGACCCTTGGGTCCAACACAACCCAATTCTGCTAAAATGGGCCTGGGCTGCCTCCCGTACCTGGACAATATGCGAGACTAAGTTGGCAAACCTTTGCAGAGCTATACTGTGGCAAATAATGCACCCAACTGTCTACCCTGGACATTTCAGACTAACACAAGTTGGGAAACCTCCGCAAAGCTAAACTGAGCCCAACTATCTACTCTATTCAAATCAATATTACTCAAATATCTGTTGAAATATACTTAAATTAGTTCCACTAAAAAAACAATTAAGATTAACCAATAATTTATTTTCCGTACACGTTGATTTTCTAAATTCACTAACAAGAATCATTTTATTTTTAAAGACATACTGGGCTCGAGCATCAACTATACCTTTTTTTAGGTAAGGTATGGTAAGTTATTTTATAGTCCCTGTTCTGTAATATTCAGTGTAATTGTGATTTTTTATAATAATGCTTTCTTTCATCTAAAAATAAATACAGATGACATTGATTTTTAACTTGTTTTAATGTTTAAAACAACATGTGATTTTAACAATTAACTATTAGTAATTTTGTTATTTGAAAACAAAACATCAAGCAATGAAGATCCCTCTCTCTCTTTTGTAATATTAATCTCTTTCTTTTAAGGTTCTGTGAAATTATTGAAAGTTTATTTGTTAATATTAAAACTATTTGTCAATTGTATCTCAGTGTTTGTAATTTGTGTCATGAAGAATCAAACTCCGCTTATCTTATAAATACAGTCCACTCTACACGCTACCGAAATTCTACATGGTCCTTCGAGCCGGATCATCTGAAACTCAGCTCTTTTGGTAACTATAAGTCACAATTAGTTCTACTCAAACTCCAACTTGCAACCTTAAAAATGAACTACTCACTCCTTTCTCATCAGTAAGAAGTAAGAAGACTATCAAGACTACTGTAGATCTAAAAGGTCAATATCCAAAGGACTTTGATTCAAACTTTGATTCCTCTATATTTTACGCATATTGTTTTTCTTGTAATTTATTTTGCCATTTCAATGTTGTATCAAACTATACAATTTGGTATTTTGTAATGCTCATAGCAACCACTAATAGCACTAATGTAACAATGCCATCTGTTATCTGTGTCTCGTATTGCAGAAAATAATGACAATCTCTAATTTCTATCTCTCTGAATACTCAGAATAATTGTTTTGTTGTACAATAAAAATGAAATTCGTCACCCTCTCTAGGCAATTAAACTCAATTGCGAATCGTTTAGCCAAAATCCAAACTAACATTCAAGCTTTAGATTTATTACCTGATTTGTCCCAAGAACAAATAAATAAGTTGAAACTTTTAGATTCAGAAACACTTAGAAAATACTCAGAATTTGAAACCTCCCTTGAGAAACTATTCAATAGTGACACGCTTCCCGATGATTATGAAGAAGATACACTCTTTCAATTACAAGATACTATATCTGCCTTATATGTAGGAATTCAAACTCTCACGAAGAAACACCTTTCTCAAGATCCTACAAGTCATAGGCCTGTTCTAAACACAAATACTCCATCAAGTAGCCTACCCCATAGTAGCTCTTCCTCAAACCAAGATAGCCACTCTCTAAAACTCCCTCCTCTATCTCTCAAAACTTTCAATGGTGAACCAGAACAATGGTTGCCTTATGTAAGCCTGTTTCAAGTATCTGTTCATGATAATGAAAACATATCCAAAGTTGAGCGATTTCAATATCTGCTTTCTACTCTACAGGGAGAACCTTTCAATCTTATAAAGAATTTACCAATCACTGCTGAAAACTATGATGTAGCATGGGATCTTCTCCAAAAACGGTATCAAAACAGTAGGAAAATTATAAGCATACACCTCTACAACATAATAGACTTACCTAACCTAAGTGACTCCTCCCTCAAGAACATTCGCTCGTTCATTTCTCAGTATAACGAAAATGCCCAAGCACTCATTGCACTAAATCATGACATAGCCAAGGATAATATCTTGCTCTCAGCCATGTTACTAAGGAAATTACCCGCAGACATTCGCAAAAAGTTTGAAAGCTTACGCGTTAATTCTCAAGACCTACCAACCGTAGGTGAAGTAATAACATTTTTAGAAAATGAATGTGCTTACTTAGAAGCTGCTAACCTCTCTAACTCTCAGTTTCCCAGAACTACTTCAAGCAATAGCAATGTAGGTTTCGCTCAAAATAGCAAGAGGTCCAGTCCTCACTCCTCTCAGATAGGTCTATATAAATCTACACCGAACCAAAACCGCACTACTTTACTAGCTTTCAGAGACTCAAACGCCACATGCACATTTTGTAGTAAAAGTGATCACAACATTTACCAATGCTCAGAATTGAAAGATTTGTCCGTACAGGAAAGGTACAATTTTGTGAGGAAAAACCACCTCTGTTTGAACTGCTTAGGTACTGCTCATTCTGTCAAAGACTGTAAGTCAAATAAAACATGTTTTCACTGTAAACTGAAACATCACTCCCTCTTACATCAAACTAATAATAGGCCTAATGATAAGCTTAACCAAAAGCCTAAAGATAATGCTCCAACGCCCAAGGAAATGAATAAAACATATGATGACCCTGAACCTCCCTTTGTAGCTGTCTCCTCGAACCCTAATGCCACTATATTGCTAGCCACTGCATTGGTACACTTGAAAGCTAATAACGGTAACACAGTTGTAGCCCGAGCCGTTATTGACTCCGCATCTATGGTAAGCTGCGTAACAGAAAATATTGCTAACCTGCTTATGCTTAAACGGACATTTTCCAGTAATTCCAAGATAGATGGCCTATCATCAGTAGAAGTTAAATCTAAAGGTGTGTCAAAAGTTAACATATCATCTCTTAGCGGAGAAACGATTGCTGATAACAACCCAGTCCTTATTCTAGAGAGAATAACCTCAAACCTCCCACACTCAGAAGTTCCAGTTAATGTTAAAGAATACTTCAAACATTTGGTCCTGGCTGATCCAACTTTTCATTTGCCTAGTAAGATAGATGTGCTCATAGGTGCTGATCTATTCGCTAAAGTAATCACTGGTGAACGCATCATCATTAACAAGGATCTTCCTGCTGCCATGAATTCTGTATTTGGATATCTTATCATAGGCTCTGTCCCAACTCTTCCTGCTTTAGTCCCTCACAAAACAGCCCCTCAATGCAAGGGTAATGTTTCTTCTTTATTAAGTACTCAAGATATTGATTTGCACAATTCTCTGCAGAAATTTTGGACTCTAGAAGAACCTCCCATCAAACTTCATGTAACATCTGAACAAGAAATTTGTGAACATCACTTTATAAACACGGTCTCTAGGGATTCAGATGGACGCTACTTTGTTAGGCTACCGATAAAGAAAAATCATCCCCCTCTTGGTGACTCATCATTTTGCGCTCGTAATAGATTCCTATCACTTGAAAGAAAATTAGAAAGTCAGCCTGAAGTTAAATCAGAGTATAGTAAATCTATACATGATTTATTGTCATCTAGTCACATGGAACCTGCTAACCCTCCTCCAAACAGTGATAATAAACAATTTTACTTACCTCACCATGCTATTGTCAAAGTAGATTCCTCAACTACCAAGCTTCGTGTAGTATACGATGCAAGCGCACGCAGCTCCTCAGGTGTCTGCCTTAACGATATTCTACATACGGGGCCAAAACTACATAATGATCTTAATGATATTCTGTTAAAGTTTAGACTATCCCCTATTGTTTTCTCATGTGACATCAAACAAATGTTTCGTCAAATAATGATCCACCCAGATGATATAAACTATCAAATGTTGTATTGGAGAGATGACAAAGACGATCCCCTTTCTGTTTACCGTTTAACTACGGTTGTGTTTGGATTCAACTGTTCGCCCTACTTGGCACTAAGGACACTTCACCAACTTATCACCGATGAAGGCGCAAACTTCCCTCTGGCAGCTGAGGCTTTAAAGAAACAAGTATATGTAGATGATTTAATTTTAGGTGCCAACAGCATAGAACAAGCTTTGGTACTAAGAAATGAGGTGGAACAACTTCTCTTAAAAGGATGTTTCGAACTGAGGAAATGGACTAGCAACTGCCCTCAAATCATGGAAACTCTTCCCGACTCTTACAAAGAAACTCCTCTATATTTCAACTCCTCAGATCAACCTTATTTCAAGGTACTATGTATAAAATGGTCACCTAACTCAGACACTTTCTCTTATCAGTTGAATATCCCAGACACACCTCCCACTAAACGAGGTATACTTGGAACAGTTAGCAGAATATTTGATCCAAACGGTTGGTTGACTCGTCACTCTTTGGGTAAAAGCGTTGATACAAGTTTTATGGGCACTAGGTTTATCATGGGATGCGCCTGTACCTCCGGATCTAACTGAAAAATGGTCTAAGTTCCTCCAACAACTCCCTTTCTTAAGTGAACTTAGCTTACCTCGATATGTTTCTGTAGCCGATGCTGTTCATATCAGTTTATATGGATTTTGTGATGGGTCTGAAACAGGTTACGGAGCTTGTGTCTGCTTGCGATGTGTAAGTTCTTCTGGAGAAATCAACGTACATCTGTTAATTGCCAAAGCTCGAGTAGCTCCTCTTAAGAAGATCTCCATCCCTAGACTAGAATTGTGTGGTGCCCATCTTTTGTCCAAACTCCTGAACTATTGCAACTCCCTACTCTCTCAAGATTATCTTGTCAACGAATTACATGCTTGGTGTGATTCATCTGTAGTCTTGTCATGGATAAAAACTGTACCCTACCGCTTAAAAGTTTATGTTGCAAATCGAGTGTCAGAAATTCAGGAACTTACTCCTACTTACAAATGGAAACATGTCTCAACTCATTGTAATCCAGCTGACATTGCCAGTAGAGGAACCCTTCCAATGTCTATGAAAGACATTGATATTGAACCACTCTCTAAAACTCCCTCCTCTATCTCACCTCCACAACACAGACTGTTAGTTTTTTAACAGTTTATGGTGGATCGGTCCCGATTGGTTATCTCTGGATCAGGAATCATGGCCTATTCCTCGCTTCACCCCTCTCCAAGGTGAACAATTGCCAGAACGTAAGGCCGAACCTCTACCAATAATGGTTACAACTCAAAAACCAGACTTATTCAATAGGTTTTCATCTTGGTCAACCCTCCAGCGAGTCATCGCTTACATTCTACGCTTCAAAAATAACCTAACAAACCAGGTTAAAGAATCAGGGTTTTTAAAGCTTGAAGAGCTTGATAAAGCAACAATCACTATCTGTAAAATGATTCAACAAACAGTTTTTTCTGAAGATATTTCTAGATTGAAAGCTGGAAAACCTTGTTCCTCCCGTCTTGCGTCTCTCTCCCCCTTCTTAGATGAAAATGGATTGATTTGTGTTGGAGGCCGCCTTAAGCACTCTCAAGTATCCTACGCTGCAAAGCACCCTATTGTCTTGCCCAAAACTAACCATGTCACCAATCTCATCGTTGATCATTACCATTTTAAACACTTGCATGCTGGACCTCAGTTTTTACAAGCCGTTATATCTCAGAAGTTTTGGATCCTATCTTCACGAAGTGTTGTTCGAAGAAGAGTTTACAAGTGCATCCGATGCTTTAAATGCAATCCTAAGACCACCACTCAGAAAATGGGAGATCTTCCTCCACAACAAGTCCTACCCTCAAGAGTGTTCAACAACTGCGGACACTCTCCAGGCCTAACCAAAGTCTCACCCATTCCAATAAATAATAAATAATGAAAGAAGTTAACCATCAGTTTATTGTAAATATGTTCATTTCTAAAATACATTTTTCTCAATACTTAATTATTAGGTGAACCCCTCTTAGTGGTTCACGGGCGGGGGTATGTTCTGTAATATTCAGTGTAATTGTGATTTTTTATAATAATGCTTTCTTTCATCTAAAAATAAATACAGATGACATTGATTTTTAACTTGTTTTAATGTTTAAAACAACATGTGATTTTAACAATTAACTATTAGTAATTTTGTTAGTTGAAAACAAAACATCAAGCAATGAAGATCCCTCTCTCTCTTTTGTAATATTAATCTCTTTCTTTTAAGGTTCTGTGAAATTATTGAAAGTTTATTTGTTAATATTAAAACTATTTGTCAATTGTATCTCAGTGTTTGTAATTTGTGTCATGAAGAATCAAACTCCGCTTATCTTATAAATACAGTCCACTCTACACGCTACCGAAATTCTACAGTCCCCACTCACATTTTCCTGTTTATACAGAACTCTTATGTACTAACAACATCAATCACACAAAAAATCGCCCCGCATAGAAACTTGGATATTTCACAGGACATGGAAAATGTCCCCATATTTAAGGAGTTTTAAAACTTCATTCCGCCCCACATCCCAACTGGTTGGACGTTTTCCAGACCCTGCGAAATGTCGGACTTTGTATCCATCACATTTAGGTGCCTTTATAGTTGAGCTAAGGATAACGGATAAAACCAGACAGGTAGGCTCACTCAACAAACTTGTTGAAACTCCTTTAACGATTACCTCCAGACACTGGTGTTGCCATCTCCTGGCCATCATCTCTATCTGAGGTCGTTTGAACACCTTGGAGCCTCTCTGCACCACCTTGTCCGGTAGCAATACACAGTGTAGTGTAGCCAACAGAGACCAGCCCTGCTTGATCTGTGCCTGTTGTGCCGTGATCATCTCTTCTGTGGCCTCGTCTGGCTTCCAGCTCAGCCCCTGGCGCCCTCTATACAGACAAACTTGCATAAGCTACTCCCATTACTAAAAGAACCAATAAGAGTAGATTCTCTCTAGCATTCGAATAGTCATTTGCTTATTAGTCACACACTTGCATACCAGCACTGCACCGCTTTATCCAAAGTCATGTAAAGAAAGCTCGAAAGCTGTAAGAATGTTTTGGTGTTCTTTAATTATTGTTTTGTAAATAACAGTAGTTTAATAGTTAGGCACTTATAAAGGACTTTTGGTACAAATCTATTCATTTTTATATTATTTTATTTATGTTGGTTCAGACTTTTTTAGTTTCAATAAGAGTCTGGTCCAAAAAAAGAGTCTGCTAATATACAGATTATTAAAAATAAATTACAATGCTTGAATGGGTGCTAAGTTTAAATTTTCTGCAAGTAACCATGTTTATATTTTTTGCATAAGGAATAGAATTAGGCTATATTTTTCTGTATTCACCAGCACCCACCAGTCATTAGAAAAAAAAGGAAGTTACAATACATATACTGTACTCAAAACTAGTAAGAAAATTAGTTACCAAAATCAGCTTAAATACCGGTACTGCACATTGTACATAAGAACATTAATTACCAGTATAGACTAAGAAAACAAGAAAAAGATGAATGGTTAACACCAATATTAGTTAAAGGAAAAAATAATTGGAAGACATGAAAAAGGTAAAAAACAACAATGAAGTAGGAAGACAGGTAAAAACAAAATAAAAACTAAGGATTACTTATTTCTCTTTTAAAATTTAGTAGTAAGCCCACATATATTTAAAGCTAAACCAGTACTGGACGACTTGCTCTATGTACAGCTCCTTAGAGGATAACAACTAACTACAAACAATCTATTGCACACTGCCAACAGCTTATTATCTACAGCAATAATCAACTTTATACAATAATCTACATGACTATTAGGTTTAAGCATTCTAAAACAAAACTTTTACTAATAAATCTAATCTACAAAGTAAGTCTTTTTACTTTACATTTAAAACTATAAATGTACAGCAAGCACTATCTCTTTAAAAATTAAGTGGGCAAAGCATTCTAAACAACGACTAACTCTTTACAGTCTACAATCTAGTTTGCAGTGTAAAAATGGCCAAACCTAAAAAATAAATGGTTTTTGCACAATCTACCGATTTTAATGGTTTGTCAGAGAATGCCTTGTGTTTTTATACACTTAATAACAAAATTACTGTTGAATTTTCAAAACTCTAGTATGAAATTCTATTAAAGGCAATGATTTCTTAATTTTCACAAAATTTAATCAGTTTAATTTATTACTCATAGAGTTTAAAAATGCTATAGGCTATTACCTATTATAAATAATATCTTATTAAACATTTAAAAGGCGCTGTACATCCTAAAAATAATTTAAATAAATATAAAGTAAAATGGTTTTCCAGTAAAGAAGGAAAATAAGAATAAACAGAGAAACTTAAGCATACAAGAGATGAAATTACTAGTTAAAATTTTAAAGGTAAAACCTGGAATTTTAATTTACTATTGGTTAAATACTTTTCACCTGTAGGTATAATCTGATGTGATAACCTAATTAGTTTTAGCGAATTTCCCATATAGGGAATAAGCTATTACCGTAGGTCTCATGGTAAGACCTAGACCCGGGACCGATTTACTTTTTTGTTTTGAGGTCCCCAGAGGCCAAAAACACCATCCGTTCAAATTCATATATATATATATATATTTATATATATATATATATATATTTATATATATGAGCTCCAACATACAGGTGAGTGAGCGTAGCGAACGAACTTCAACCAGGACGTGATTGAGCCATGCAAACGAGATCAGATAGTAAAAATAAAAGTAAGCCTACCGTTATAGGATCGACCGGCAGACACAGAGGTAATTTAACCTTTTATTGATTGTCATACCGATCCGGAACAACAAAAAACAACATAAAATGAAGCTATGTATAATAGTTTGGCCAGCATATCTTAAAATATGCAAACCAACTGCTGTTCTTTATATAAGAAGGTTTCAACTGAATATTATAAGATCCCCGTGCGTAGAACGGGTACACAGCTAGTATATATATATATTTATATATATATATATATATATATTTATATATGTGTCCGTTAGCGCGATAACTCGAGCAAAATTGATCCGATTTTGATGAAATTTTGTACAAACGTGTAAACCTACATTAATTCGAACGAGTTCGCGAACCAGCATAATCGGACCATGGGATCAGGGGTTTATGGGGGGTTTTATGGGGTAAAAATGGGTTTTTCTCGTTTTTGACCCTAAAAACTTTAAATTTCTAAATTTCTCTCTAGACCATTTTGAAGAGCTTAAAAAAACAAATAATTTAGTATATTGAAGTGTTTTTGAATGTTCATTGACTACGGAGAAAATTAAAAAAATTGTAAATTTAAAATTCCCATGTTATTCTTATGGAGAATAAATAAACTGTTCTAGTTTGCTTGTTTATGGATATATTTTAATCAAATTTGGCAATTTGGTTTATTTCATACTAAGCTATCAATATTTCAATTGAAAACACACACCTCAACATCTTCCCCGTAGCAGCAAACCTAACTACTCACTAAAATAATGTTATTTAAATAGGAAATAAATCTGAAAATTTATAGGGAACATTTTAGTAGAAATCAAGCCGGGTAAATGGAAATTCGCTTAGTATGCAGGTTTGCTGCGACGGGGGTATTTTGGCTATGCTTTCTTGGTGTACCATATTCTATTTTATTAAGTAGGTTTGCTTACTATATATTCAATTAATAATTACTATTATTTATTGACGTGACTCCTTATGTTGTCAAAAACCTTTTGTCTGATCTTGAAAATTTGTATATTGAAAAAAATTAACAATGAGCCAATTTGAAACCTACTGTTATAGCCTGGAAACATGTAGGCCTATACCAGAAGGATATCTTTACGCCCCACGGCTCTTAGTGAGTGCAGCATATTGATTATTAATTAGTAAAAGATAGTTTTGTATTTTTCTATGGGATGCAGTTGAGCTGGTTTATCTGAGAAAATTATAGTCCAAGAGAACCTAGTACACAAACAGTTGACAAAGCATTACACTGATTTCTTCCTAAAATGGAACTTCTCCAAAGATATTAATGATATAAATAAAGATATAAATGTTTCATCAATGTTAAAACTACATCTGGACAAAATATCAGTATTAGCTTATGCCTTGTGATGTTTATTTGAGTATATATATTAGTCTCTGGACTCTATTTTTCAGGAAAGCTTGATAGACTCTCCCTTTTCAAAAAATCTTTATCAGCCACTATTGGCTTTCCTTTCAATTATGGCAATGAGTTTTGTAACGTTTCCGCATTATATCTTAAAATTTGAATGCTTGTTTAACATACTTAGATTAAAATAATGGTTTCACAAAAGCCTAGGATGAATGACTGAACCATCAACTTTTCTCTGAAGCTATCTAACGCCTCCTAACACAGACATGTTCATGCAATGCTGCGACGATGCGATGAAGTGCAACAACTTGCAGTCTTGTTTGTAACCTCTATACTCACCTTCCTCCACCAAATGTTTTTTCAAGGGCCGTTGTAGCTTGCATTTTAGCCCTAACGTACTTCCAAAGTGAGCTAAGGAAATTAAATGTCAAATTTTTACTTGCAACTATGTGATTTCATAAAAATGAGTGCAAAGAATTTTTTAGAAAATTTTCTACAGAACATTTTTTTAATTAATCTTTTTAATGCATACAAACTGTATTTTTAACAGAGTAATATTTTAGTGTTTGTATTAATTATGGTAACATTATCATTGACAAATAAAGTTTATTTTGATATTTAATTTTACACTTTTCAAATTTATCTTGAAAAATTAATTTAAAATCAAATCAAATCAAAATTTTCTGTATTCATTATGTACAAATAGAGTAGGTTTACTTGAAACAAATGTAATATATATTTTACAAAGTAATCCAAAATTAAATTAACAATCAAATTACCAAATTTAAAAAATAATCACATTTTTGGATCATAGTTAATTGGAATACATTATTAGTATGCCTAATGAGAAATCATCTGATCTAAATAACTAATTATTTAGATACCTTGAAGCCTGACAAATCAACATGCATTTGTTTACATGAGATAATGAAAAATATAAATTACAAATTTACATCTTTCAGCAAAAAGTACGGTATCAGCCCCAGCCTATGTATTGAACACTGTTGGTATGTGTTCATGGCGAATTTCCCTCTAGGAAAGGACATATTAGCATAAGCTTCATGGAAAGAACTAAAAATAGGTCCGATGCCGCTTGTATCTTTTTGTTTGATAGTCGTCATAAGCCAAAAACACTGATCATTTAATGAATGTATTTGTAGGAATGATAACTCTATAAACATTCTCCAGTTTTGATGACTACAATTTATCTGTCTTTCAGGCTTGCAAAAAATATCTCTTGTTAAAATTGTGCGAGAGATTTGTTTGAATTATGATACATCTTCAGGTGTAAGAAAGAATATTCCAGGACAAATGATTTGTGTGAATGGAGATGAACTTTAGGTGTGCCAAGAGTTCTCAAGCATAAATTACACAAGGGATTTGTTTTGTAGGAGATACACCTTTAGAATAAATAAGAAAAGGTTATCCGACACAAACCACATGAGGGGCTTATTTAAAAAAAAGCAACTTTTAATGGATTAACACTTTCACTTTGGCAAACATCAAACAGGCGCTTGCCAATAGCAACAAGGCCCCCCACCGAATCAGCGAACGCAATTGGCATTCAAATATTTCAGTCTGATGAATCACAAAAGAGCAGCAGTGATTGTGCTGCGTTACCCCCGAGAGTGGACGTAGTTCACTGAAACACCCATGGGTAGCAGCACTGACTGGATCCGTAGCCAGTATCTTGGTAATGTGGATCGAAGAGAGAAAATTCCCGAAACCGGGACAAAAGCATTGCCAGACAAGATTTTACGGGAAATTTTAGTAGGCTTACCAGCCTAAAAAAAAATAAAGCTTGCATTCTAAGCTACAGGCTGGCAACAATTATAACATTACGCGTCAATGGCTGAGCTCACATTGACTATTCAAAGTTAAATCCTGGGAACGGCCAAATACGACCTTTCAGCACTGGCCCGCAGCCGGCACCGGCTGATCTCGACCGCTCAGCAGCGAAAAGGTTAAAGGTTTTGCGCCCAAATTGGACGATGGGTTTGGATACAAAAAATAGCAACTTTAGATGTAACAAAGGACTTAAACACAGGAAAACTGTTACATCCTATAAATGAACCAAAAAATACCAACTAAAAGTTTGTGTTAAGTATTTATAACACAAATGTTATGATTAGTTAATAAAAAAAAATCATTAGTTGATCCTCAAGACCTGGCTTTGTCAGACTCACCTCTGCATTTTCCTGTTGCGCTCCTGCTCAGCTACAAAGCTGGCATTGTTCATGGACATGAGTGTGTTGGCCAGTGCTATAATGGCCAGCAGATGGTTGGTAGTCAGCGTAGTACTGAGTTCCCAGTGTGTCCGCGCCGTGAACGTCCTCGTAGCTCTCTCCAGTTCCACCATCTCCTTAGGCAAGTTGGCCTCGAGGCTGGACATATCTTTGCTCATCTCTGCCTTGTATGGCTGCCACGTCGGCAGTAGCAGGCTCATATACCCTGCAAATGAGTTTAATTCCCTTACTTTTCTTTGACTTAGTTCCTTTACCTCTCACTGGGTTGTAGGGTTTCAACAAGTGCCTTCCATTGTGTGGCGTCTTTCTTTACTTCTTCCTAACTCCTTCCACGTGTAGCAACTATTTCAACACTTCGCTTTCAACAAAACAAAAAGTTGTTTTGCAAGACCATATTTTATAAGTAAATTATTACTAGAGGTCAAAATACCTTATAATCCGTCAGTGTGATCAAAAAGTCACCGATGAAAGGCGACCGGTTTCAACCCATCAAAGGGGTCATCATCAGGCGTTGAATGGACACATAATTACTCCGAAGAGGTCGTCATAAAGTCAATAAATACGAAACGAAGAACAGTTAAAACACTTAAACACATTTTTACAAAAACACATGTGGCCACAAATTGACTGCGCGGCGGACGGTATGTGCACATTGAGTTACAAGTCCAGACCACCATACATTAGAATATATATTGCAATTATATATTATATAGCTGTATCCGCGGGCTTTGCCCCGTTTAACTTCATAAGTATTCGCATGGCTCATTCACGTCCTGGTTGAAGTTCGTTCGCTACGCTCACTCACCTTTAGGTTGGAGCTCGTTCGCTGCGCTCACTTGCCTTCAGGTTAGCTCGTTCGCTGCGTTAACAGGTTGAAGTTCGTTCGCTACGCTCACTCACCTTTTGGTTGCAAATTAGCTGTTGTCGTAAATAAAAAAAAAATAATAGTGCTGCACCCTGTTGGTAATCCTCGTAACTTTTATGCTATTGAACATCATAGAACAGAACCAACTTGTTTAATTGAAACAGCTGTTAAGATTCATTAATTCCTTTTAAATATGAAAAATCATAAGATTAACAAGGGGAACCATAGAGCCACTGTGGCGGAGCCCAAAAGGGTTTTTGAGATAAGAATATGCTTTAATGTTAATCGGGAATGTGAGCTATCATCATGCCAAATTTCAGGCCAATCCGTCCAGTAGTTTATGCGTGATTGAGCAACACACACACACACACACACACAAACACACACACAAACTCACAAACTTTCAGATTTATAATATTAGTAAGATTATATTTATATTTATTATATTTATATTTTATTGTTTATATTTCAATGTGCACATACCGTCCGCCGCGCAGTCAATTTGTGGCCACACGTGTTTTTGTAAAAATGTGTTTAAGTGTTTTAACTGTTCTTCGTTTTGTATTTATTGACTTTATGACGACCTCTTCGGAGTAATTATGTGTCCATTCAAGCCTGATGATGACCCCTTTGATGGGTTGAAACCGGTCGCCTTTCATCGGTGACTTTTTGATCACACTGACGGATTATATAGTTATTTGTGTAACTAGTGGTGAAAGTGGCACTTTGCTGCACACGAGAGCAATGTTTACGCACGAGCCGCAGGCGAGTGTGGAATGATCTCGAGTGCAGCAAAGGCCTTTTTCACTCGTGTTACACATTATATTTTTCCTACAGTCACTATAAAGCATATAAATAATTAGTCTTTCAAACACTATACAACGTTTTTAGGTTCAGCTGGCAACACAAATGGTGCCCTAGAGAAAGTGAAAGTAGTACCCGCGGTCCGTATCACTCCGCAATTTTTCCTCGGCAAGAAATGTGCTCCGCGTTTTGAGAATATAGTTCCGTATGTTTTTGTAATTTGAAGTGGTTTCCTCGCCTAAAAAAATGCTTTAAAGGTATTTTTTTGTTTATTAAGATCGTAGGAATGTTTTAAAAACGTTTAAAATAAGTCCAGAAAGTTCAGAAATACCGAAACTATAAACACGAAATGACAGGTTAAATCGTAGTTATAATAGTCAATCAGCTGCTCATAGTATTACTATCTTAAAGTGTTGCCAACCTATTTCCAAGGGTACACGGATTACGTGCATAATAGAACCACGCTGTTTTGTGTTGTTTCGTTGGAATCCTGATGTGCGGCAAAGTATAAACCGTACGACAAAGTATAAACCGTACGGCAAAGAATAAATATGCAGCAATTAGCTGCTTTCTGTACTATAAACAGTACAAGGAAGCCAACTTTGTCGGGTGACTGTAGGAAAAGGTATTTTAACCTCTAGTAATAATTTATATTTGATCAGGAGGCAAAAACAACAAAAATGAAGTTTTATAAGTAGTGCATACTTAAAAAAAGTTGTTAGGAAAGGACTAATTTGATGTTAAAACAATACAGGCAAACAATTACAGAAAGATTTGCTAAAAAATATTTTTTTTATTTTGCTACTGAATATGTGAAGACTAACGCTTCTTAAGACAAATTCATCTCACTCCCCAACTAGTATTAGTGGGTTACAAACTGGTTAAAAAAATATATTTTATACCAACAACACTATTTCTAAGTCACTGCTTAGTGAAATAAGGTGAGTTGTCGGCTCATTTGGTCTGCAAAACCTAAGGCAGCGTCGTCATGAGTTTGCGTTCAGTGCCGCCTCTTAAAATCAATCAGAGCAGTAAGTCTTTAGTTCATTCTCTTCACCGTTCCACTCCCATCTTACTTTGCTTTATAACATACATACACAGACCTTTGAGTCTCATTTGGACAGGCAGATACAAAGTGAAAAGACGCCACCAATTAAAAAAAAAGTATTATCTTACAACAACAAATGTTAGTAAATTTTCAAGGTTCACCTCCTTTAGACAGCACCCCGAAGCTGACGGGCACCATGGGCCGCAGCAGCCCCAGTTTTCCCTCACACACCAAGTCTAAGTCAGGATCCAGACCCCAAGCATGCAGCAGAGACAACAACAGCTGGGCAATCTCCATGGTCAGGTTGGCTTCACACACCTTCTTGTGGCTCCACTCATTGCCATTACCTAAAACACCAGACAAAATCCATATAATACTAGGTGGCGTTTGCAGACGCGTTCACAAAATTGAGCGGAGTCATGTTGGTCCGCAGGTTTGCTATATGTCCCAGGTTTGGAGTATTTTGTTTTGATGTGGTGCAAATCTACTTATTCTAACAAGTTTACAAACAAGCATGATTGAACTATAGGAATAAGGTATCATGAAACTATAAAAGGTTTATAGGGTAAAATCAATTTTTAATAATTGATATAGGGATGTCACCTAGGTGCGTATTTGAACCCAAACGTAAGTGAAGGTGGGAGATGATCTAAGTGGCTTTGTTACTGACTAAGATCAGCTGTTTCATTAGCCATGATCAATTATTTAATGCCCAATAATAAGGAACAGCTGGGTCCAGAAAATTGGGTTTCCCCATTTTTAACCTAAAACAATAATGATTTTGCAATTTCTTTCCAAGCCATTTTGTAGTGCTGGCAAAACCTCCAAGCAATTAATGGGAAATGGAGTGATACCAATAAACTATATTTCATTTTTACGAGATAACTACTTCTAAAAATCTAAATTTAATTTTTCGACATCAGAGTATTTAAAATATGTAATTTTATAAGTTTGGCTTTTTGAGTATTCTGAGAAAAAATTTTGGATCAATATCATTTAGCAATAATTAATATTGTATATCCTTTAGGAGATGAGCGTGTGTAAGCGTTATAGTGATGTCCAATGATTGTGTAACTATTGAATGGACACTTACTTAGTATAGGCTCAGAGTAATAAAACAAAACTGTTTTGTTTTATTACTCTGAGGTATAGGCTACATAATCAATAGTGCATTACTTTACATGCAATCATAACTTTAAAATATCGAATGCCTTGAGTCTGACTTTAGCTTGAATCTATTAATGTCCAAAACAGACACCTACGGTATGGTTTTTCCTAGTAAATAAATTCTAGGCAAAAAAGAAAATAAAAAGATCCAAGACATTCTGACATTTTCCAAAACAACAGATTTCCGTATTTCCGTGGGTGAACCGCCTCACACAGACGGATACTCGACAGCAAGTCCAAGGTCAGGTCGCAGTCAGCAGTCAGCAGTCAGGACTTCCTAGGGCGTGGTCCCGGCCTTGGACTTGAATATTCTTTCTTTGTCTCCGCCCCCGACTGCCCAACTGCCCACCGCTGTCCGCAATCGACATAATCGCTCGTAACTCTCCGCGATCGTGTGCAATGCCGTTTACGAGATCTCCCGGCTCCGCGATCAAAGCGGATTGGCGAGATGATAATAAGGTTGCAGCAAGACTCTTACAAGTCTAAAATCGGCGGCTTATAGCGCCAGGGTTGCCTCAAGTCCAGGGTTCCCGGTACTGTGACCGGTATTGTTACAAATACCACGGTGCTCCGTAAAGGACAGTGTGTTGTCGATTCACTTCAATTTTGTGAGATGAAGACGTAGGTTTTATTTGTGAATTTATCCGTTGGTGGTATTTAAATAATATATATTTTGATTGTCGAAACGAAAGCACCAAATCTTCGCCCGTTGGTACTTACTTAGTGCGTCAGGTAATAAGAGAAACACATTAGGGTACATATGAACATTTCATTACACATGTCCAGAAAGGGACGTAAATTTTCCTCCCATATTAAGACGTTGTATTGTACAACTTCACAAATGTATACCTTTAACTAAACGTTTTACCAAAAGTATAGAGACTATCTAGAAAGTTGAAGCATGAAACAATAACATATACATTCACACCACGGAAGTTTTCAGTTATTATAAATTTCCAATATTTCAAACGCCATTGTATGCATGACTGGAACAAAATCTGTGCACGACAAATCGTTTTTATTAAAAATCCGAACATTTTTATGGGTGCAAGCGCAGCAATGATGAACACAGCTTTCCGTTCTTAAGCTTTACAGTAAATATTTAGCAATCGCACACTTTTTACTGAACATTCCACACATAACACCATGTATTAAAATAGACCTATTAGATTCCGACATACCAAGGTAGCCTACGTTACGTAGTTTAAGGCGAAGATAGTCTGTGAATGAAGAGTGTTGAATGCCCAATGATCAATAACAGCATTGGTTCATCCAAAAGGCGACCCCTTGGGTTTTTCAACACATCCTTATCGAATTATTTATAAAACGTGGACTTTGTTTATCCAACTACTGTTCGATAAACAAAACGTCAATTATTTGGTCTCCCTCGAAAAGGAACGAGGCCTCTAAAAAGCCCTAAGGTACCCCTAAACCGTACTCCCCCTCCCCTAAAATCCCTACTAACGCCCTACAGGCAGTTTTTACCTTCCGACTGTCATACAAAATTTCCTAAAAGAGCTAAAATGTTTTTGTTTTCACAGGAATACGTAGAATAAAACAACGAAAATTTATATATTGGTTACTTTTCTGTAGAGCTCCAAACTCGAGGGTCTAAACTTTTTTCCCCGACAGTAGTTCGTTTCCCGTAGAAAGTAGCCTGAAGTAGACGAGTTGATCAAAGTAGGTACTGTCACTTATAGTTCAAAATAGGCCTAGCTATCTTGATATCAATAGGACTTTAGTAAATAGTCATAACCAAAGAAGCAACTGGAATTATTGTAGCTGCAAAACTAAACAAATCAGTTACTACTCCACGTCACAATAACACTACATCCACATTCAGCATAATATAGGCCTACACCGAAGGTTGGGTTCCAAATTCACAAGTAAATTTGAGGAAGTCGACATATACTAGCTTCCTTGTTTGATAATTTAACCCCCCTAAAATTCCTCAGATAAGCATAATTATATGCTGTACTAGAGGAAATATCCCTCAAACGATCGCTTGCACTTGGCGCCGCGCCCAATATTTCCTCGTCTCTCACTGCAACTGTTCGGTCTGTCATGTCGGCGCCCTCGGCGTCCTGGTCCTGGCGCTGCGACCAACGCCCAAGGCCTCTACAGGACAGGTGAAATGGACCTTGCGTCTGTGTGGCATTTAGCTGCATTCAGCTGTCAAGGACACGGGATAAAAGATATGTTTGTTTCTTTGTACACGATACACAATAATAGCACAATAGTATGGTTTGAACCCTAGATCAAACATAATCCTTGTAAATTTACAATCCTTCTGGATCAACAGAAGACCATTATTATTCAAGTTAGTTTCTTTTCGGTTTTTGTAGAGGTTTTGTTGTTATACTATTATTAGTACGTAGGTGCATAATGATTTCTTGTTACAGTATTTAAACAATTTTGAAACGATTTTAGATCGTACTATCAGAAGTAGACCTACTGGCCGACGTTTCAAATGCGGCAAGGCAACCCATTTTCAGAGTAATCTAGAACAAAGCCGAATATATTCATATTAAATCTATCAATCAATAATTGAATTGTGGTTGTGGGTAGATTACCCTTGAAGTGAGATCGCTGCAATGAAACCGAAACGCCATACAGTATTTTCGACGATTATTAACGACGTGGTAATTTCCGAAGACATGGATTCGACACTCTGACTCTACTCCGGCCGTTGTAGCCAACATTGGGATGGGAGCAGGATGCGGCATTTATATTACTCTTCATAATCAACTCTGCAACCTACACCAATCCCTTCATTCAACTTCACAGCGTTCCTTCCGTCAAATTTTCGGAATTGCAGAAAAAATCAATTATCGTTACTTGAATTTATTTTAGTTTGTAGCCCAGTTACAAGAGCGAGTTTAGTTTATTTATTTTAAAACAATAAATTACCTTCTCCGTCGGTCTATATTTAGACTAATTGAAATGTATAAATATTTTAGTAATTTTAACTTCAGCTCGTTTAAAGAGTAATTTCAGGCCCTAATGATGAAAGTATATATCATGATTACAAGACTAGTGTGTATGACTAAACTAATTAATAGTAACATACGATACAAAGATACAATGTCAATCAAGCATTAACAACTCACGCAGTATATATTCATACAGATACGCTATTATCGAATCGTTTTCACACTGCACCTTTCCTGTTAATTTTATTTCTTTAATAGCTCCTCATGGTAACCTAACCAAGATAACTGCCACAGTATACAGGTTAGGAATCGCATCCATATAGATATTAACGAGCAGCAGGAGTCTCGTCGGCTCGCAGATCACGTCGGCAGTGCAGTAGTCGCTGACAGCTTGTCTCTATCAATCAACCTAACACTACTGGGGAAGTCAACAGGTTTTTGCCCTTCCTGCTGACTCTACGACTCATAGACCTATTCCTCAACTTAAGGTAGTTTCTGCAGATAAGTGATGCTCTTAACCTGAAATACCTTGACTGTGCACATCAATTCAACGTTCCGACAGTTTTTCGACAATTTTATCAAAAACTATCCAAGCCTCAAAATCCAGCCCTTCATAACCTGCCATAAAATTCCATTACATCTTGATGGAACGTTAGTAACCCAACCCAAGATTTGATGGAAAAGATCTTCGAGTATCGCCATGACAAATTTCTCCCAACGCTATGACGTGAAAGTTCTGTCCTTAAGGCCGAGGTTAGAACCCTTAGGTTAAGTTATAAATAGGGCGTGTTACTAGCCTTGCGGTTAGTGCCACAGACTTTAATATTGTGTGGACGAGTTCGGTCCCGTCATATCCACAAAATATAATGTTTTTGGACCAATTTCCTTCAAATGCGTTTGTGGTTTCAACTGGAGTAGACACCAACCAATATGGAATCCCACTAATCCCAAACAGCTACGTGGTAATATCATGACATAAATTAAATGGTAAAACTAATTACCATTTTAAAACCTACTCAGTTGGCTAGGAGCTCGCTTTAAGCTAAGACCACTCATCTAGAAACAGACAAAGACAGGACTAAACACGGTCAATTTCTCCGGATTTGCGAAATCTTTTTACAAGAAGCTATACCAAAATCGGCCTTAGTCACTAACAAGACTACAAGATCGCGCCACTCATCCTACACTCATCTCCATTCATACTTGGCTTAAAATACCTACTACGTATGGTCGCCATTTCATTGAAC